GATGTGAGTGTGGTGTGTATGAATGTAGAGAGTAACGTGAGTTTCGTACAAGTTGAGTCCAGAGGCGCGCAAAGCAGAGCAGGTGCAGCTGAGCAACCTGCGCGCCGTCTGGACGCTCTGGCGTATGAGGACTGGGCCGTGGATTATAGTGATGTGAGTGGGACCTGTGACTATAATGAAAGGAGTGTGGCACGTGATTGTACTGAGGGCCTACTGTGATGTGAGCAGCGTGTGACTCTTACAAGTTGACTCTAGAGGTGCGTACAACGGAGCAGGTGCAGATGAGTAACCTGAGGACCACAATGTGAAGCTCTCTGCTCGCTCCCCTCCTCCCTCCCATCTCTCCCCTCCATCCCCCTCACTTCCCCCTCGCCTCAGCTGGCCTTGGGGGAGAAGCTAGGCGGGGGCGCGTCGGGGCGGCTGCACCGGGGGACGTACCGCGGGCAGGAGGTGGCGGTGAAGGTGCTGCAGCTCGCTCCCCATGGGGGGGGCGCGCATGGGGAAGGCGCACCTGGGGGCAGTGCTGCTGGGGAAGGCGGGGAGGGAATGGGGGCCACGGTGTGTGGGACGCTGCGGAGTGCAACGGCGATGGAGCTGCTGCAGTGCTTCAAGCAAGAGGTCGCTATAATGAGGTGCGATTTAAGCAGGAGGTTACACTAATGAGGTGCAATTTGTGTATTATGAGAAGAAAATCACTCCTCACTCACTTACCCACGCATTTTTAACAAGGTCCCTCACTCACTGTCTTGGCACCTTCTCACTCCAAGTCCACTTACCTTTGTTTTTCCCTTGCTCCTCTTTGACCTTAGGCTGCCACATGCCGTGCCACCACACTCACGCCAATTCCCTCTTGCTTCTGCATCCCTCCACAATAATGTACCCCTTACAGGATGGTTCGCCATAAGAATCTCGTGCAGTTCATTGGAGCCTGCTCCCACTGGCCGCGCCTCTTCATTGTCACAGAGCTCATGGCAAAGGGAAGGTGAGCAGCCAGAAGAAGCCCCAGCTGACTGACTCTTTGAGAGTCGATCCAGTAGTCACCCCGACTAGTTCGCTGCAAAATCCGCCAAAACACCAGTCTTACTCGCCCATTCAACCACCGTCTCTCCACCTCCCACCTCTTCTCGTCCCACCCTTCCTCTCCCATCATCTCCCATCCCTCACACCAGTGTGAGGGACGTCCTGGATCGCCGCAGCGTTGCACTCTCCCTGCCGGCGCGCCTCAAGATCCTCCGAGATGCGGCACGTGGGCTGGACTTCCTGCACCGGCGAGGTGTGGTCCACCGTGATCTGAAAGCTGCCAACCTGCTCATTGACGAGAATGATGTGAGTCTTTTGTCCTTCTTCCTAGTCATTTTGAACCAGCGCGGCGCGTGGGCTGGGCTTCCTGCAACCAAGGGGCATCGTGCACCGCGACTTGAAAGCCACTAACCTGCTCATTGACGAGAATGATGTGAGTCCCCCGCCTCTTTTTGCACATCCGCTCTCACCCCTCTGTCTATCCTGGGGGATGCAGCCCCGCGGGTTGGATTTCTTCCACCCAAGGGGCATCGTGAAGCGCGACTTGAAAGCAGCTTACCTGCTGATTGATGAGAATGATGTGAGAAGGACGTGAGCCTCCTGCCATTGTTGCTAGGCGGCTACTTGCACCACTCTATCTGGGGGAACAACTTGTGAGACGTCTCAAAAGTAGTCTACTTGCACCACTCTATCTGGGGGAACAACTTGTGAGACGTCTCAGAAGTAGTCTACTTGCACCACTCTATCTGGGGGAACAATTTGTGAGACGTCTCAAAAGTAGTCTACTTGCACCACTCTATCTGGGGGAACAACTTGTGAGACGTCTCAAAAGTCGGCTACTTGCACCACTCTATCTGGGGGAACAACTTGTGAGACGTCTCAAAAGTCGGCTACTTGCACCACTCTATCTAGGGGAACAACTTGTGAGACGTCTCAAAAGTAGTCTACTTGCACCACTCTATCTGGGGGAACAACTTGTGAGACGTCTCAAAAGTCGGCTACTTGCACCACTCTATCTGGGGGAACAACTTGTGAGACGTCTCAAAAGTCGGCTACTTGCACCACTCTATCTGGGGGAACAACTTGTGAGACGTCTCAAAAGTCGGCTACTTGCACCACTCTATCTGGGGGAACAACTTGTGAGACGTCTCAAAAGTCGGCTACTTGCACCACTCTATCTGGGGGAACAACTTGTGAGACGTCTCAAAAGTCGGCTACTTGCACCACTCTATCTGGGGGAACAAGGTGCATGTGGCGCCTTCTTGTTAGCCTTTCTTGCTTTCCCTTGTCGTCGACGCCGACAACGATGTGAGCCTGCCTGCCTGCTTCCACACATGGCCGGCCTGAAAGAGAATGAGGTGCGCCATGACCTCAACGCGGCTACCGTTAAGTTCACGAGAATGATGTGTGCAGTTTTGACATGACCCCCCACCAGTCTGCAAGCTGCCAAATTAGCAGCACAAGTTTAAAGCCCTCTCTGCCCTCTTGTGCTGTCCTTTTCTCCAACACCTCTCAGGTGGTGAAGCTGTGTGATTTCGGTGTGGCCCGCATGCTGCCATCGCGGCAGCAGGGGGGGCAGCTGAGGGGTGGGCCAGAGGCAGTGGGGGGGGCAGACATGACAGCAGAGACGGGGACGTACCGGTGGATGGCGCCTGAGGTGATGGAGCACCGCGGGTATGACCAGCGGGCCGATGTGTTCTCCTTCGCCATCACCATGTGGTGAGCCATTGGGGTGGGGGCAACAGAACAGAGCACAGGGCACGGGGCATGGGGCACAGGGAACATGGTGGGGGTTGGATTGCAGGGGTTTACAGGGCACAGGGCACAGGGTGGGGGGCACAGGGCACGTATGCATAGGGCAGAGCGCACAGGCGGGCATGACAGCAGAGACGGGGACGTACCGGTGGATGGCGCCTGAGCTGATGGAGCACCGCGGGTACGACCAGCGGGCGGACGTGTTCTCCTTGGCCATCACCATGTGATGAGGGTTTGGTGGCACACTGTCAGAGGGGGAAAGAGGGGGGCTGGGAACAAACAGGGCACGGGGCACGGGGCACGGAGCACGGGGCATGGGGCATGGGGCACTGGACACGGGGCATGGGGCACGGGGCATGGGGCACAGTGAAGGGGTTTGATTGAGCTGATAGATACAGCAGTGCAATGAGTGCTTCACAGCCCTCACCTTGCCTCTTCCCCCGCTGTCCCCTCCCATGTAATGATTGCAGGGAGGTGTTGACAGGCGACCTGCCATACTCGGGCCTCACTCCACTGCAGGCTGCCATCGGCGTGCTTCAGAGGTGAGGCCACTTGCCTTCCATTCACTGCTGCTGCCGCTGCTGCTGTTCCTGCAAATTAAGCATCTCAAGAGCACACATTGCACGATCCGCACCGCCGCATTACCAATTTACCACCTCCTGCCCTAAGCCCTTCCCACATCTCCTCCTCTGCTTGTCTTCCCTCACCTCACTTTACCTCCTTGCTCCCATTCCGTCACCTGTCACTTACGCTCTCGCCCATCCCGCCACCCCTCGCCCTGCCATCCCTCGTCCTGCCACCCCCAGGAACCTCCGACCACCCATTCCCCCCACGCTCCCTCCTCCCATCGCCACCCTCATGGCGCGCTGCTGGGCATCCGACCCCGCTGATAGAGCTGACTTCTCTGAGGTGAGGGGTTGAGATATTTGAAAAGGGCCCGGGGTACATCGCCACCCTCTTGGCACCGTGCTGGGCGTCTGACCCCGCTGATAGAGCCGACTTCTCCGAGGTGAGCCGACTTGAAGACTTCTCTGGGCACAGAACAGAGTTACAGTTGCACAACTGCATATATCCCTCTGTGTTGATACTCCATGGCTCGCTGCTGGCCGCCTGACCCCGCTGATGGAGCTGACTTCTCCGAGGTGAGATTGCTGAATGATTCGTTTTTGCTTGACTTCTCTGCAAATGTCCCCCTGCATGCATCCACCCTGTAATGATATATCCACTCATTCACACCCACCTGTACCCATCCCCACTCATACTCACCCACCAGGTGCTGACAGTGCTGGAAGCGTCTATCAAGGGGGTATCCCCTGCCGCCCTCTGCTTGGGCCCTGATGCCGCCTCCCCTGCTGCTGCTGGAGGGGGGATCACAGGGGTAGGTTCAGGGGCAGGGGGAGGGGCAGGGGGAGTGGCAAAGGCACGGGATTTGACAGGGGGAGGAGGGAGCTCGTCCTCTCTGGGCAGTTTGTTTCGGCGGTCCATCTTTGGGGCTGTCAAGAAGCACTGAAGGGAAGGAGGTAGAGCGAGGCAAGGAGGGGAGCAAGATGACATGGATGTGAAGAACTAGACAATCGTATCTAATAACTAGATCATGTGAATGGGTGTGCATGGGCTCCACTCACATGTGCATGTGATGATGCTATGCATGGCACAGTCCTAGCCAAGCCACGGCAGCGGTCTGTGAGAAGCAGAAGCAGAAGCAGGGGCGCCCTGAAGTTGTTAAGGTTCTTGTAGCCCTCCCTCACACATTCCTGCTACACATTCCTGCTATGAAGTTAACATCCTGCAGCAGTGCTAGTTTGACCAAATTCAAATCAAGATTTCTCAAAGCTGATTTTGTTATCATTCTACCCCAGTAAATGTGATGTATTGAACCAGCTCAATTGCTTCCAGGTACCTTATATGGAGGTGCAGATGAGACACGCAACATGGGAATCAATGTCAAAAACTGGGCGATGCGCAGGCAGGGCAGGCGACCATCCTGCACAAAACGTCATTCTATGAGCTCTTCAGAATCCTGAGCATGAAATCCAAGAGCTAGTATGCAAGCCCAGTTACCAGACCCATACGAAAATCCCCTAAAATGCCAGTCAGGACTCCAAGATGCTGGGGAAAGCCCTGCAGCAGGAAGCTGAGATCGTCAGTGGGGACACAGGAACGAGCAGCAACAAACCATGCCACTGATTGAGCAGCACTTCAGCAGCAGCTCAGCAGCAGAGCGCTCAGCAACAGTAGTTGGCAAGAACGCGGTAGTAGACGCGCTCGTCCCTGTGCTTGCCACTCTCCGCTGCCCCCACCAGCGCCAGCTCCTGACGAGGGGCGATCACACACGGGCACAATGGCGCATTGAAACACGCATTGAGACATGCATTGAGACATGCATTGAGACATGCATTGAGACATGCATAAAGAGATGCATTAAGAGATGCATTCACGGACGCCTTGAGATAAGCATTGAGACAAGCAGTGTGGTGGCCCACACAGGAAGAAAACAAGCCGCACAAGATGGGAACATACGGGAGAGCGGGTGACGAATGTGGCAGAGAAGGGGGGTTCACTGTGTAATGCATTCCGCACCTTAACCATCTTGTGGCTGAGATTGATCCCCAGGCAGTGAAGCAGACGGCGCAGATCCTCCGACTGGGAGTGAGGCGCAATGAGCACGGGGCCAAAGAGAACAGGTGGGAGACAGAAAGATCAGCAGCAATGGGAAACGAGGAGATTAGAAAAGAAGGTGAATAGAGAAGAAAGAGGAGAAGCAAAGAAGTGAATTGGTAATGAATGATGAGTGACTGACAACTTCTGCTGTTGCCCCTTACATCACCATCCACAACCCCACCCATTCCCTCCCCACCACCTCTCCCCCCTTGTCCCCACAAGCTCCCCCCTCCCACACATCTCCCATGAGGCGCAGACCTTGAGGTAGTCGGAGTGGTTGCGGTCAAACTGACGGAAGGCCTGCAGACACACAGAGAGCAGGCATGGGGGAGGGAGGGCAAGTTAGCCATGTTTATCACACACACACGACACCACTCTCAAAATTAACACAAGTCATCTTGCTAAGTGGCAGTACAAATGGACGGATGGAAGTGACGGAGCTATAACAAAGGCGTGAGGATGCAGGAGAAGCATAGAGTGGAAATGGGGATTCAGCAAAAGCGGTAGAGCTACGAGCAAGGGGCAGGGCTTACAAGGACAAGGTCAGAGGAGGTCACTGAAGACTTGGGCCACGAGTCCTCCTCCTTCACCTCCTTTGTCTCCTTTGCCTCTTCCTTTGCCTTCTCATCCTTCCCTCCCCCCTCCTCGCCTTCCTTCTCCTTCTTCTCCCCCTCTGTAACTCCTGCCCCCTTCTCTACCGGCCCGAGCTCTACTGCTCCACCACTCGCCTTCTTCCCCTCTTCCACCGCTGCACCACTCTCCTCCATTAGCTCATCCTTCACTTCCTTCCTTTCCTTCCCTTCCACCTGCTCCTCTTTCTTCACTGCCTCCTCTGCACTGGCTTTCTTATCCTTCCCATCGTCCCCCTTCTTCTCCTCATCCTCCTCCATCTTCTCTTCCTTCTTCACTGCACCGCCTTCCTCTCCCTTCTTCTCCTCCTCAACCTCCATCTCAACATCCCCCTCCCCACCTTCCACCTTCGCCCGTTTCGCCGCTGCCTCATCTCCACTCGCCTTCTCCCCTTTCCCTTCTCCCTCGCCGCCCTCCTTTGCCTTCTCCTTAGCTGCTTCAGCCTCCAGCCTGCGCTTGCGACTCTCCCTCTCCTTCTCCCGCTCCTTCTCTCTCTCCTTCTCCCGCTCCCTTTCGCGCTCTTTCTCCTTGGCCCTCCTTGCAAGGGACAAGGGATACAGAAACTGAGGCAGGGAAAAGGACCACCACAAGCAAACGGACAAGCACAGGGACAGGAAACCAGAGATGAGGAGTGAAAAAGGTGCTCAAAGTCCGACCGGCCCCAAAAAGAATGAAAACGTGTCGGATCAACCAGGCCATAGCAACTTTACCCGGGCAGCCCCCCAAGCAAACTTGCCCTAAAGCCCTCTCAAACCACATAACGGCACAAATCCATACTTCAAATCCGTAATTCAATTCAAACCACCTGAAAGACACCCATCCTTATTTCGTGCTGCTGACCTGCAGGTGCGTGAAGATGGTTCGGCCTGCTCGCTCCTGTATGTACTCGCTGATGCTCTCCGCCACCACTCCCAGCTGCAGTGCCGAGCACAAGGGCAGGATTTAGAACAGAGGGGACGGGAGAGGGACGAGGGGATGAGAGAGGGAAGAGGGGATGGGAGAGGGAAGAGAGGGAATGGGAGAAAAAAAGAGGGGATGGGAGAAAAAAAGAGGGGATGGGAGTAGAAAGAGGGGATGAGATGGCGAGGAGCGGAAGCACTTTCAACCTTTCAGATACTTGCAGATGGCTTTACAAAACAGCAACAACAAAGTAAAATCTGTACCGCACTGCACTAATGCCCCGCACAGCAAACAGGCACACACCTCGAAGGAGGACTCGTCCCTGTCCTCCTCATCATAGTCCAGCAACCCATCCAGAGAGATAGTGAGCGTCTTCACCTGCCGCCATGCACCGCACGCAGAGGGGGGTGTGGGATGGAGGGGTTTGAAGGTGTAAGAGCCGTTATGGTCAGCAAAACAGGAAGCACGAGCAACAACAACTGTGGGATAGAGTAGCACAACAAAGAACTAGACGAGGAGGGGTGGGTGTGGTGGGGGGTTGATGATGGTGGAAGGGTGACCGAAGGCGATTCAAAGAGAAAAAGGAGTATGGGGTTGCTAAGGACTGGGCGGCTGATGAGGTTTGGGGACACACCTTGACGGTTTTAGTGCGTGAGGAAACCAGGACGAATCCAGGATTCGTAATCTCCTTCGCCTTTGCCTTTTCCTTCTCCTCCTTCTCTTTCTTCTCCTTCTCATCCTTCTCCTTCTTTTCTTTCTCCTCTTTCTCTTTCTTCTCCTTCTCCTCCTTTTCCTTGTCCTTGTCCTCGCCTTCCTTCCCCGCTCCCTCCTTTGCCTCACTTCCCTCTGCCTTCTCTCCATCACCTGAACCCTCAGCTCCATCCTTGCCCTCCTTGGCCACATCAGAGCCTCCTTCCTTAGCCTTCTCCTCCTCCTTCTCCTTCTCCTTCTTCTCCTTTTCCTTCTCCTTTTCCTTCTCCTTCTCCTGCTCGTCCGTATCATCTTTCTCCTTCTCCTTTCCAGTTTCCTCCTTTTCTTTCTCCTTCTCCTTCTCCTTTTCCTTCTCCTCCTTCTCTTTCTCTTTTTCCTTCTCCTTCTCACGCTCCTTCCGTTCCTTGTCCCTCCTCTCCTTCTCCTTCCGCTCCTTCTCTTCAATCGCCTTCCTCTTAGCCTCCAGCTCTTTCACAGCCTTCTTCCAATCCTCCAGGCTCGGAAGGCACTCCGACAGATTCGGCAAAAGGTAGACCACAGTCTCGAGGTTGGTCGGCTTGCCATGGCTATCAGATCTCATGTAAACCACCTGGCAGACAGATAAGAAGTAGAAGAAAAGAAGGGAACGGAGAAAAAAAAGGTAAGGGACGGATAAGACGCAAGGGCAACAGGGCCGGAATGTGCAGACCGATGGCCGAGGTAGGGCAAGAAGAACGAAGGTAAACATGGCTGAATCAATGAAGGCAGCTCGTGACAGAGCCGCATTAACAGGACAGACTGCCGTAGATGCACGAATAGGCGTGGGCATCCAGGAGCAAGCAAGAGCAAGCACTCACGTCGATAAGCCGCGCCCAGTCCTTGCATGCGCTCAGATCCACACGCACGGTAGCCTTCACGAACCTGCCACAGAAGCAGTTTTTTCAGATCAGGTGAGCGCACTCCATACGAGAAAGGAGAGCTTCAAGCGCAACATATGACAAGCAATGGAGTCGTGAAGCAACTCCCAGCAGAAGCTTTGATTCAAGGATGGCATGGGATACGCTCGGACCTGGCATGCTCACATGCAATGCAACCCTAAGCTGCTGCATCAAACAGCCCCTGCCCCCGCAAACCAATCACAGCGTTCCCCTCGCACCTGATCGCAGCTCGCACGAGCCCAGAGTCCTCCTTGCTCGGATCTCCACCGTCCGTTTCCGCCTCCCAGCGCCCGCCAATGGCTGAGATGGGATCGCGGTCGCGGCGCATGCAGACGAATCGCAACGAGTGGTTGGTGTGAGGGGGCCGCTCGTGGGGCGATGGGGGCTTGTCTGACGTGATCTGGGCGAGGGCTGGCGCGTCCAGACCGCTCATCAGCAGCACCTGATGGGACGACGGGGGTACGGGGCATGACTTAGGAACAAAGCGGCCCGCACAGGACGAGGGGGTGATGGAGAGCGGGATTTTGGGGGTAGGGAGGGGCGGAGAGGGGCTTGACGATTGGGAGGTGTGGCGTTGGAGAATCTTTGCACTCCTCTTGCTGCTCGCGCATGCAGATGCCTCAGCGGAGAGCCAGACACACACACATACACACGGCCCACACCCCACACACGCACACACACACCGGATAAGTGGGGACCGGAGAGAAGGGGCGCTCTCACCTTGACAGTCCACAGCATGGGCAGCTCGAGCCCAAAGGGAGCAGCGGCAGAGTGGGCAGGCGACGTGGCAAAGCCACAGCTCTCATTCGCCGTAGCCATAGACGTGTCCTCTGGAGGCGACTCCCCAGCCGTCGCTGTCGCAGCACCAGCCGACTGCCCTGCAGGAGTGCCGTCCTCTGTCATGCCCTGAACCTCACCCTTCTCTTCTGTGGCCTGAGCTCCCTCCTCTGGCTCGGTCTTCACTGCTGGATCTCCCTTGCTCGAAGTAGACGCAGTGCCGACGGTTGCTGCAGCAGCAGGCGACGTTGATGCCGCAGCAGCAGTTGCAGAGTCGTCAGATTCTACCTCTACTGAGTCGTGCTCGAAGCTGATCCGGCCGTCCATCCATCCATCCATAATCCATCCACCCATGGGGAGTGGGCAGTGGGCCGCGGCGCACATATGCACGCCACCACGCATAACGCACAGAATGCCATCGCAACAAGTCTGGATTAGAAAAAAAGATCCAGCAGCCGATTGTTGCTCTTGTGATTGCAGGAGAGACGAGTGGAGGATGAGGACGAAGATGCGCATCGAGCATATGGAGCTCCGAGTGACAGTGGCAGCAGGTAATAGCAGAGCCAGGAACAGGACTGAACCAGCAGCCACCAAAACCAACAAGAACCAGGAGCTCAGTGGTAGCAGAGCAGCTGAGGCTGGATGCATTGAGTCACTGGGAGAGTCATGCCCAGCAGCTTCTCCCACTCCTGGCTCTAGCATCGTGCGGCGGCAGGTGATGAGACGGCAAGCGAACGAGCATGACAGGAAGGGCACAGCAGCAACAACGTGAATGGGACTGGGAGAAACATACCTGACAGGAGTGAAGAGTGGCAGCGGCGTGGAATGAGTAGGCCACACAGCTCGCGCCTGCACATGATATTAGATAAACAAAGAAAGAGTTAGCTGGCAACAGCGAGACACACCTTGCAGGAGTCAACTGGCACACAGAGGCGCAAAGTATGTTGCTAAGCGCCCTAGGAATACACACCTTGCAGAAGTCAGCTGGCACGTAGAGGCGCGGGTAGCGCTTGCAGATGCTCAGGTACCCCCTCTCCACCTCCGCGAATGGGAAGGGCTCAATCTGACAAGACATCGGGGGAGAGTACGGGCGGCGATGGAAGGGAACAAAATCGTCGTTAAGGCAGGGAGAAGAAGGATGTGCGGGGCAGAGAGCAAAGGATAGCTGGACGGAAGCGCAATTACAGCGGCTTCGTCTGAAGCTGACCAGAAAGGGGTAACACAGGGCAGCAAGGAGAGAGACTGACCTTGCAGGAGTAGGGGCGGTAATAGTCACGGGGCGGAGACCTGCAGGGAGACAAGGAGAACCACAGAAGAACACCAGCGACCCATGGATCTTAGTTACATAACTGAAGCCAAACTGTTGAAGCAGATTGATTTCAGGCAAACGTAATCTGCTTCAGCCAAAATCAGCTCATCCTGAAGCTCCGCCTAGTTACACGACTGGACCTGCAAGGCCCACACTGAAAATATCACATTTAACTACAAACAGAGCACGGATCCTGTACGCCAGCCGAGCATGCACCTACGCACATGACACCATGGCAAACCACCATATTGCCTCTATGGCCCAGCGCACCTGTGCCTGTGATAGTCGCGCTCGTCCTTCCTTGGCACTCCAGCAGCAGCCGCCTCCCTGCCACCGCCTGCCTTCCTCCTCTCCTCCCTCTCCTTCTCCCTCTCCTTCTCCTTGTCCTTATCCCCATAATCTCGATCCTTCCTCTCCTTCTCACGTGCCCTCTCCCTCTCCTCCCTCTCCCTAATTCTCTCCCTATCCCGAGCCCGCTCGCGCTCTCTCTCCCTCTCCCTCTCCCGCTCACGCTCCCTCGCCTTTTCCCTCTCGCGCTCCCTCTCCTTCTCCCTCTCCCTATCCCGCTCCCTATCCTTAGGCCTATCCCTCTCCCGCTCCCTCTCCGTAACAGCCGCCCTGTCCCTCCCAAACGCCCCCCGCTCCCTCTCCCCGCCCTTCCGCCACTCCTCCTCCCTCCCCCTCTCCACTTCCCTTTTCGGCCCAGCATCGCGAGCCCCGGGCCAAGCCTTGCTGGTCTGGAATCCGGAATCCGCACCAAGGCCGGAAGTTCGGCCAGCAGGGGCAGACGCCTTTGGTGCAGAGAAGTCCCGGCCTGGAGCACCACGACAACAGGGAGAGACCGAGAAACATCAGGACGCATAACACGACCAACGATAGGAGGGCGAGGTGAGAAGTGCGAGAGTGCGTAAACGAACGAAGGCGGGGTAAATGGGGTGGGTGGGCGGGCCGCGGGGGCGTTGGAGGGGGAGGGCCGGGAGGGGGGGAGAAAGAACGGGGGGTTGAGCGGAGGAGGAAAGCGGGGGGGTATAGAAAGCATACCATGGAAGCCCTGAGGCGTGGGATGCGGCGCTGAAAACCCCTGCGCCGGCACGTGCTGCTGCTGCTGCTGCTGTTGCTGCTGCTGCTGCTGCTGCATCTGCTGCTGCATCGCCACGGCCATTTGCTGCTGGAACGGGACGCTGCCCGCGCCCATGCCGGACACGCCTCCCCCCATGGCAGCATACCCGGGACCCGCGGCAGTGAGCATGACAGGCGTGGCACCGCCGGCAGCAGCAGCAGCGTCGTACTGCACGCCCGTGGTGTACACGATCTGCCGCTGCCCTCCTCCCACTGACGCGGCTGTGGGCCCCGTTACCAGCACCTGCTGCCCGTAGCTGTCCGTCGCGGTGTAGACGCTGGGGGGAGGGGGGAGGGAAACGACGAGCAGGGGGTAAAGCGACGAGCAGGCACGAGAAACAACGGTGTGAAGGTAGTCCTTCCAAAAAAAACCACTGCACTACAACATGTTTGAGTCGCGAAGTTGGAAACCGGAAGAAATATTTGCTTGCGACGAAACGCTCAGCATGCGAGGAAACGCTGAGCATGCGAGGAGACGCTTACCGCTGCTGCGCTGCAGCTGCCTGCTGCTGCGACGCCATGGCCTGCTGCATGGACGCCGCTGCTGCTGCCAGCCCGATGGCCGACGCTCCACCCGCGCCCTGCTGCTGCTGGTACTGCTCACATCAACACAAGCACAAAAGAAGCACAGCGAAATGCTTTCCATTAGAGGAAATTTAATGACAGAAATCCTCTTCAATGGCGTTGTAACCGCATGCCTTACACAATGTGAAGCTATATGGCGTCAGAATATCAACCCGCAGAAGTGACGCAAAGCAGACGCGCGAAAGGGGCACGACGCGAGCATAAATTCCTACCGTTGCTGCATCGCGATAATAAGCTCCCATCTTCTTACCGTTGATGACGCGTCCTGGTAGTAGGCCCCCGTCTTGGGGTCGAAGCTGAACGTCCCTCCAGCGGCGGCCGGAGTAGCAGCAGTCGTCCCCACGCCATACCCGCCGTACGCGGAAGCACCGCCGGCGGTTCCCGCACCGCTGGATATATCGAGGCCGTAGGCTGCAGCGACTGCCTGCGCGCCGGCCGAATACTTGGACGTTCCGTCGACGGTGGTGGCGAAGGAGGAGAGCGAGGAATACGGGTTGGCCTGTTGACCACGCGGAGAGGAATCGGAAGAAACGCGACGGAGTAAGGAAGTGAGGATGAGGAGGACGATGGATCATGGAAGGCAGTACAAGAAGTGGCTGCGAGGAAGGGGGTAACGACAGGCGGACGGCGAGAGGCGACGGACGGATGGCGGACGGAAGATTTAGTATTGATAAACGTCTGTCGAGTCATCGAAAACGCTAAAATTTTGGACATTCTAGTTGGAAAAACTGCTACAAAATCAGGAAAAAAGAAACCGCTGCACAGTCGAATCTTCTCCGTAATACATACCGACGCAGCCGAAGCTCCCTGGGTGTAAGAAACCTGCTGCTGCTGTCCCGCCTGCTGCGCTTGCTGCTGCTGCTGCGCCTGGGTGCCATAACCAGCAAGCGACTGGTACGTATAGTACTGGCCGCTCCCTGCTGCTGCAGCGGGCGTCGCGGATGCCACCTGCTGTTGCTGCTGCTGCTCAATGGAATAGCAGACAAAAATTCAAGAAAAGTTGGAAAGTCCATCAGCATTCTGAGGCTGAGAATCAGTAATCTGGAACAAAGAGAGGATGCCATAGCGAAGGAAATTATGGAACAAGAACAGTCAGGGACTTACTTGTGTCAGCTGTTGCAAGGAATAACCCTGCTGCAAAATCGCGGAAAATAAGAGAAGGCAACAGAAACTTATCAAGGTTAGGACATCCGTAAGCTAGGTAAGGAACCTTCACGGTGAGCATAAAAATACCATAATGTCTACGAAAAGCATAAACTATTAGAAATAGACGTCTAGAGTCAGAGATTCTGTGAGCATCGAGATCGATCTACAAGTCAAGCTCCAGATCTACGACTCGAACGACTGAACCCTAAATAAGAAACCGAAAAAAACTGGGGAAATCTACAAGAAACGTGTTAGATTCGAATATTATGAGCACCTGGGAGTACTGCGAGGCCCCTCCGCCAGCCACGGAGCTCCTCCAAGAATCCATGGCGAAGCGAGCCCTACTATTGCGCGCTACAACACAAACGCCAATGTGGTGACGTGAACAATGGTCAGCGATCCTAGGTTAGGGAATGTTGGGATGCGAGACACAACCAAGGCTCAGAAGAAACCTTGATCTGGTCTGGTCTGGGGATTAGATTTCGAAGAGAGTGTAACAGCAAAATATTACATACATGAAACGATTACATATCCCACTTTTTTAAGCCGCATGTCAACATCGGACAAATCGAAAATTGTAAGCAGCTCAAATGAAAGACCTGCTATGGCAGACATGAGCCGAACCCAATTACAGACGTACCAGAACATAACCTAAGCCCGCATGTCCACCACAGGACCCACCCACACCTTGAGCGCCCCATTCAAGTTCTGCATCCAACCCCCAATCAGCCCCTCAAAACTACGGTACCAGAACCGCCATCAGAATGACCAATTGTAGGAGATACTCAGCCTCTAGGACCAGCATTATTGACAGCCATCTTGGGATGAGTACCCCCTGTTGTTGCTCTATTTATTGGCAACAGTTTCCCCCCTGCTCAAAAACTTCACCTTGAATCGTGAAGCACGTTCAATATGCATCACTTTGTAAACCCGATTCTCCTCCCTGTATCGTCATTGCCCTGCTTCTTGGTGCTGCTCCTTGCGAACCTCTATCGCATGCAGACGTCCTAAACACCGTTCTTTCTTTGCTTCAAGCCTGGAAATCTTGCTGTCGACACGTGAAATCTTCTCTCTCAGCTCATCCTCCTCGGACCGCAGGTTGAGAGGCTGGGAAGGAGGTGTTTGCGGTCTTGTCCTTCTGATTCCCTGAGACCCACCAAAGAAGCAGGGATACAGAGTGAAGGAAGTACCAATTACAATCAAAACTGCTGGTCATTCTACAAGTGAATGACGGGAGCGTGTGCGACGTACGGGCAGTGAGCGTGGGCGACGGAGGGGAGTGCGCGTGGGCGATGGAGGGGAGTGAGCGTGGGCGATGCGGGGGAGTGAGCGTGTGCGACGGGAGGGGAGTGAGCGTGGATGACGGAGGGGAGATTGCGAAACGCGACGGGAGGGGAGTGAGCGTGGGCGACGGAGGGCAGTGAGCGTGGACGACGGAGGGGAGTGCGCGTGGGCGATGGAGGGGAGAATGACTTGCTTACCGCTGTTCCAACGAGAAAATGACAGATGGTAACGGAAGCGCACAGCAACTTACCGATGCATAAGGATCCATGAAAAGGTTGGTTCCTGCTACTGCCCGCAGGCGCAGCGGATGCTGCCTGCTACTGCTGTTATTGCTCAGGTGATGCTGCTGATTGCAATCTCAAGACAGAAGTAAGACGAAAAGGGTTGGTGCCGCCGAAAGCAGCTAAGGAAGGAGGCTACTATCTATATTAGCGGCATCACTCAGCATTTACAGGCTTGCATTCTTTCGGCGGCACCTACCTCACATGTGTTGCTTTAGTTGGTGCGAGGCGTCCATCTGTACATCTTGTGCGAATGGAGGTCCGACCTAACCAAATCCCAAGGTTGGGCAGAGCGTTGACTCAATTGCATGGCCTGGGCCAATATTCGAAAAGTATCAGTTATCCGTAACCCGTATTTGTTTGAACAATGTTATTTCCCCACCTTGCGACTTACTCCTAGCTTTCTTTTACTCTGACAAGGGATACATCATTCTAAGTGTCTACCACTGAGCTAGCCTCTCCTGCTGATCTCTTGTGGGTGCTCTTAATGTCATACATTTCCATAACTCCAGTCTTGTTATGCGCCCACCACGTCTCTGCTTGTCGCTCGATAAAGCGCTTGCGGCTGCACCGACAGACACAACCACACCAAAGTTAGCACGAAATAGACACACACACATAAGTAAATGATCTACCACCTATCGATGCCTACGTGGTATTTTACGCACCTGAATCGGACCCGTCTCAACTCGGTTCCACCACCGGGCAGCTTGGAAAGTGTAATGTACACCCCAGGCTCCGGCTGCTCCACCCACTCGTTATCATGCAGCTTGCGCGTCGACTTCCTGCTTCCTCCCTTGCCCTCCCCACGCCTACTTGAACTAGTCGACCCAGCTTCACTCTGTGACCCATCCCTGTCATCACCACCCCCTGAGTCCGCCCCTCTACCTTCTTCCTCACACTCAGCAATACCATCCAATCCATGCATCCGAACTGTCTCCTCCGTCAACATGCCTGGATGCTCCTCAATTGTACAAGCCCCTGTAGCAGCATCAGCAGAGCTTGAAGCTCCATCAGCACCAGCCATGCCAGTTTTTTCCAAGCCGTTGATCGACAGCCTCCCATGCAGTTCCTGCTCAGTGTGTGGGTATGCAGACAGCAAGCCATCTGCTTCCTCCTCCTCCTCACCCTGCCCCATGTTCTCTTGCAAGTCTGCATACCTAAAACTTTGTTCAACGTTTTTGTTTTCCCCTCCTTGAGAACCAAAGCTCAGCTCTTGCCTGGTCTCATCAGTAGAACCTGCTTCCCTCGCACCACTGCCACCACCACCATCAACTGACTCATCACCCTCACCCAACCCAGCCCCCCCTTCCCCACCAATGTACCTCTCCCCTGCCAGTCCTCCCAATCTACCAATCAGATTCTCACTCAGCCGCCCATTCCGTTCCTGGACCAAACTCTCTCTCCATCCGCTCTCGCTCATCCCACCCACACTGCTTCTGCTGCTGAGCCCAGGAACAGCAGGTAGGCTCCTCCTGCTGCTTGGGCCAGGCACATGAGGAGGCACAGCTGCACTGGGAGGCAGAGTTCCCACAGAGACACCTACAGGAACGCGCTCAGGAGTGGTCTCGCGCTGCCGCAGATGCGTCCATGACTCATGCAGCCGCACCAGCGACGGCACCATGCGACTCTTGCTCTCCTGCTGCTGCTGCTCGCTGCTCTCGCCCCGTGGTGCCTCAAACACAGGCAGTGTCCGTCGCTCCTGCTTCTCACCCATCCCCCTACTGCCAAGATACCCCCCCTGGGAATCTCTCAGGCTGAGACCATCCAGCTGAGCGCCAGAGCTGCCCCTCTCCGCACTTGCTTCTGTCCAGCGTGCTGGAGCCTCAAAGGGTGAGCTTCCCCTGACTGAACCCCCCACTCCCACGCTCTCACGTGCGCTTACATCCACACTGGACCCTCCCCTTGCCACGCCCACCCCTGCCACACCAGAAAACGAGCCTGCCTCTCTCCCTCCTGCTGCTCTTGCTGCGGCTGCTCCCTCTGTAGCTCTCCCCCCACTAATCCACTTGGAACGCGGTGATATCATATCAGACGAGGATCCTGTAGGGGTCCAAGGCACACCTCCCTCACGCTGCTCCTCCACCCCACACCCCTCACGCACCTCACTCCCACCTGCGTTCCCCTGCCACGGGTGCTGCTGCTGGTTGCTGGGCACAGCAAGCACCAGCTCAGGGAATCCCTTGCCATTTTCTTCCGCTCTGCTATAGCTACCCAAAGAGGAGGACACGTGGAAGCCTCTGGTTGGACGCGAGTTGGCAGTGAGACTTCCTGGTCTTGCTGCCTGGGAAGCAGCACTTGCTTCTACTGCTCCTGCGTCTGATGCTGCCGCTGCTCCTGCTGCTATGCCTCCACCCCTTACCCTACACCCCTCAACACTCCCCACAGAAGCACCGGGAGCAGCAGTTGCAAGAGCGGGTGCAGCAGCAAGCGCGGAACCACCACTCCCTGAAACCGGCTGCGGTGGCAGCTCAACAAGAGACGGGGGCAGCGAGGACGACGACAGGAGCAGAGGACCCGTGTACAGCACAGAGTCATCAACGGCTCGGATCGCGAGGCTGGCTTGCTTGACCGGGATCAACGGTGCATGCTGCAGCAGCTCCTGCATCTGAGCGCAGAGCACTTGGATGATGTCACGTGCTCCTGCCGCACGTGCCCCTGCTTCACTGGCTGCTGTCACTGCTGCCTCAACTTGCCTCTGGGCTAGCTCCAAGGTGGCCCTGCGCTCTTGCTCCAGCAGCTGGCAGTGCTGCCGCAGCACCTCCACCTAAAGGGGGAACGGACATGGGGGACAAGAAAGGCGAGTGCGTTTGGATTCACTTGATAACTCCAGTGCGGCCCTGCGCTCTTGCTCCAGCAGCTGGCAGTGCTGCTGTTACTCCTCCACCTGGAGTCAGACAAAAACGGCATGTGTGTTTGGATTCACTCCGCTCGCACCCTTGAACACTTCAAATTGGTGGATGCATCATATGAAACAAGGCCTGCCATCATCTGTAAAACAAAGAAGGCATGCAAAGAAACATGCCGTGCCATGCACACATGAATAGCACACTCACGGGCCCAGCCCTCACCTCATCCTGCAGGCGGTATGCCTCCCTCTCTGCGTTCTGCTTCGCGTGCCTCATGCCCGCCATTGCTGTGTCCCTCTCCGCCTCCGATGCTGCCCACAGACAAGACAAAGGAGCCGCGGTCAGAGAGTTGATTAGTTGAGGAAAGGAGGATGAGCATTGAAGGCGCAAATTCTATGATAGAAACAGCACTAGGCCACTCGGAAATGGAATCCCGCCCAAAATGGAGGTTGAAGTATACCATACAGAATGGCACTTACTTTCTTCCAATGCTTTTGTCATGGCCGACCATCCTCCTCCTTCTCCTCCCTCCACCCCACCCGCTCCTTCCCCTGCTCCTGCAACTCCCACTCCGCCCACCCTCCCAACCGACGACCCTCCTCTCATCCCTCTCCCCCCAGGCAGTGCCACAACGCCTCCCAGTCCCCCCACAGCCCCCATCCCCCCCACCCCTCCAATGCCCCCCGGTCCCACCTGCCCTGCCGCTGCAGCTGCTGCTGCAATGGAGGCAGGGGTGGGCCCAGGCATACGCCCTGCCATAGCAGCAGCCATAGCTGCAGCGGCTGCCGAAGCTATCTGAGCCGCGGTCGGGCTGGAGGCTCGGCGAAGCGGGCTCGTGCCCATGGACCGCCGGAGCATCGGGCTGGTTGACCTCTTCCCCGGGCCTTGAACCGAGGTTCGGAGCGACCGGCTGGTTCGGAGATGGGAGTCGTCAGGTTTGGCGGGAGGTGACGCGCTGGTGCGGAGGGGAGGCGAGGCGGAGTGGGCATGGGTAGCGGCAGGGAGAGCGGGGAGGGAGGCGGATACAGAAGTGTTGGGAGGGGGGAGGGCACGGGAGTGGGGGGCATGGGAGGGTCCCTGGGTTCCCTGTGAGAGACCTTGTGAGAGACCTTGTGGGCGAGGCTGCTGGGACAGGTAAGAGGCGAAGGAGGTGGGGACGGCTATGGAGCTCCAGAGTGCTGGAAGGGCTTCGGTGCGAGTGCGGCGGAAGTTAGGAAGGGCATCTGTAGAGGCTGAGACGGATGGTGCATGGGATGCCAGACCCCCTGATACACCCCCTGCTGCTGCTGCTGCTGATGTTGATGTTGATGATATTGATGATGGTGCTGCTCCAGAGGATAATGCAGCTGCCACGTCAGCCAGTGACGGATCCAGCAGCTTGTCCACGTCATTGGACGTGCGTGATCTCTGCCACATGGACTTGCTCCGAGACCGCCAGCTCATCGCAAGGCTCACTGGCGGAATGTTCCCTACACCTGCTCCCACTCCAGCTCCTCCGCCTCCTCCTCCTCCCCCCCATCCTGCTCCCCCAGTGCCCATCCCCGCCCCTCCTGCCAAACCTCCTCCGGTATTCACCACACCAAAGCCACCAGTCTGACCTGCACCAGCTGCACCCCCTCCTGCACCTGCGCCTGCCCCTGCGGCAACCGCCCCTGACCCTCCTCCTCCCATCCCACCCACACCACCCACCGACCCATACCCCACACCACCACCTGCTGCCGCAGCCCCCACAGCCCCCCCCACAGCAGCCCCTACAGCAGCCCCAGCAGCAGCAGCGGCAGCAGCAGCTTTAACCATCTTGGCATGGCAGGAGTCGCACACGCGGTAGGGGCGCGAGGAGGAGGGGGCCATGGCGGCTCCCAGTAGCTTGCGGCTGCTACAGGCGTGGCACACTGGCTGCCCGCAGTTGTAGCAGCTGTGGCGGGGGCGCGCGAAGGTGAAGGGCTGGCGGCACTGGTTGCACTGGTAGTTGTCAGCGCCTGAGAAGGGCTTGTGCTGACACACCACGGCTGTGCTGGCTGCTCCACAGGACACCTGGTCATGGGGGAGAAAGAGGGGTAAGGGCGTGTTTCAGACAGAGCACGGCTGGGGGTAAAGGGTTGGCAGCACTGGTAATTGTCGGCGCCTGAGAAGGGCTTGTGCTGACACACCACAGCAGTGCTGGCCGCCCCACAGGACACCTGGGGATGAGGGGGAGAAAAGGGGGTGAGGGGTGTTTCAGACAGGCGGAAAAGGGCTTGTGCTGACACACCACAGTGGTGCTGGCAGATCCACAGGACACCTGGTCATGGGGAATGTTGGAGGGAGAGCAGGGCCGATGATGAAAGCATGGTGATGCCTCGACGCAGGAGAGGAGACTGTGACAGAGCACGAGAGAGGGAGAGAAAGAGAAAGGGGGTACAGCTTACCAGCAGCACGCGTCTGTCTTTGAGAGCAGTGACAGCAGTGGGCACGTCCCGGTCCTTCACATCCCCATGGCCCAGGCGGCCGTTGGCGCCCCTGCCCCACGTGAACAAGTGCGCTGTGGTGGTGAGCGCTGCCACGTGGTGCGCCCCACATGACACCTGCTCCACCTGCTTCAGCTGCAGCGGGCCCGCCACTCGAGCTGGAAGGGAGAATGGGGAGGAGGAACATGGGGAGGAAGAAGGTGTGCATGGAGGGACATACTGACCAACATGGGGGTCAGTCCTGCCTCAAGGGGTGTGCCAAGGCCCAGGGACAGAAGCATCCACAGCAGCAGGCACAGCAGCACACGGAGCAGAACGCACCTGGCAGCTTGCCATCAGCTTGAGGGTTCCCCAGCTGTCCATACTCTGCACTGCCCCACGTATACACCTGCCCTTCTGCTGTCACCGCCACTGTCACACTCTCCCCACACGCCACCTGAGGAAGACAGGAGACAACCAGGAGCAGATCAAGAAGGCGACCACACAGAGGAACAGCAGACAGTAGATGGTCTCACAGATAATGCACACACGGCAGAGGGCAAGGTGGTTCACAGTACATGGGAGCGAATTTACAGAGCCTCGTAGTACCACGCCTAGCTTGCCTGCCCTGCCTGGCTTGCCTAGCCTCCTGGACCTGGTGCACAAAAATAGATTCATCAGGTAGCGGCACCTGCTGCTGCTGCTACTACTGCTTCAACCATGGCCCAGCTAGTACACATCCCCATCGCCCCATGTAATCACCTGCTGCAGGTATCCGAGAACTCTAAGGGAACACAAACCTGGGAGCAGCTCTCCTGGCGCAGGGCGTTGACCGCAGCTGGCAGCAGCTGCTGCTGCTTGTCCCCATGGCCCAGCTAATACCTGTCCCCATCGCCCCATGTGAACACCTTAGACATCATCCCAGAATGTAAAGAAACACGAACCTGGGAGCAGCTCTCCTGGCGCAGGGCGTTGACCAGAGTTGGTAGCAGCTGCTGCTGCTTGTCCCCATGGCCCAGCTAATACCTGTCCCCATCGCCCCATGTGAACACCTTAGACATCATCCCAGAATGTAAAGAAACACGAACCTGGGAGCAGCTCTCCTGGCGCAGGGCGTTGACCAGAGTTGGTAGCAGCTGCTGCTGCTTGTCCCCATGGCCCAGCTTGTACCCGTCCCCATCGCCCCACGTGAACACCTGCCCACAACCCCCTGTGCCGCTGCTGCTGCTGCTACTACCCCCATCGCCTGACGGGCCTGTGTCCACCACTGCTGCTGTGTGCCACACCCCACACGCCACTCTTAGGGTTCGGAAGCCCTGCAGTGCCTGCACTTGCCTGGGCACTGGGACGACCCTGTATGAGGGCGGGGGACACGAGTTAGGTTCAGACAAGAATGGATTAGGCCTGTGCCAGATTGCTGAACGACACGCTCTGGCACTGGTGGGGGAGCTATGATGAGTGAAACAAGGCGATAGGCACAGGGGTGCCAGTAGATGCATGCCAGGCGTGTGCCACACGTCAAAAAGTCCTAGTATTCCAAAGTAGAGTTTATGGCAAATCTCCAAAAAGTTTTGAACGTCCACTACACCCACATCATCCTCATCCCAACTCACTTGCAGTCGCCATGGCCCAGAGCTCCAAACGTGCCGTCCCCAAACGTGAACACCTCCCCTCCACCCGCCACCACCGCCACGTGCCAGGGGCCACATGCGACCTGCACCACATGCACCCCGTCCAGAGGGCCGCCCAGCCTGCGCGGCACCCACTGCGGCATGTCCCCGTACCCGCCTGACCCCAGCAGCCCCTGGCACCTGCGCCCGTCCCCCCATATGTACACATCGCCCCCTCGCGTGAGGGCGCATGTGAAGTGCTTGCCACACGCCACCTGCCCAAGTGAGAGACGAAACGGAATGGATGTGGGACGCACGAGACTGGTCAGCAGAGCAGAAGCAGCACGATCCTGTAGGCCGCTCAATGCTGTGGGGAGGTAGCGTAAGCTGGCTTGCTGGCAGGCCGTGTGTGCTTCTGTAGTCACCCACTGCGCTCAAGCCCAAGCATACATCACCGTGAGTCCCAGTTTCAACCTGCCTATCAAGCCCTCCCAGCTCCATGCACATCTCAACCCCAACCCCATCAAGCCCATCAACCGTCCCACTCACACATGACCGGGACCCCTCACCTGATCCACCCGCAGGCCTCCCAGCGCCTCCACCAGCTGCGGATGCTCCACGTCCTTCTCCACGCCCTGCCCCAGCCTCCCCCCGGACTCCTCCCCCCAGCACAGCACCTCCCCCTGCCGCGTCACCAGCGCTGCATGCTCCTCCGCACACGCCACTCTGCATATATCCAGCACTACTCCAGACTCTAGTGCTTTCGGCGCCACACTGTCGTAATCCGCCCCCATCACCATCCTCTGCCCGCCCTTCTTTCTCATCCCGCCTCCCCCTAGCGCCCCTTCCCCCAGCCCCTCCCCCCACATGAACAGATCTCCTAGCGCCTCTCCCCCCGCGTCCTCCCCTGCACTACTGGTTGTGCTCGGGTGACTTGCCACTGCAGCAGCATCAGCCCACATTCCGGAGGGTGGTTTACCCTGCGTAACAGCTGTGGACTCCGTTCTACTGGAAGCAGAAGACTTGTCCCACCAGGACGAGGAGGACGAGGAGGTGGTGGACGGCACAGAACTCGTCCCAGGCCCAGCTGCGCCCGCTATAGTCACACTCCCACTGGCAACCCCACCGCCACCCCCACCCCCACCGCTCCCAACCCCTCCAACCCCACCATCACCGCTACTATTCAACCCCAGAATCGACTGCGCATAGGCGGTGGACGCGTGAGGCACGGATAGCCCGGAGAAGCCACTGAGAGAGGCAGTGTCTGAGGCATCATCTCCGTCACTGGAGCGGTCATCTGCTGCTGGATACGTTGAGATGTCCTGCGCGGACTTGGACGCGGGCATGGGGGCCACGTCTGGGCTCAGCCTGTCCGGCGGACTGGCTGTCGCGGACCCGCCTGCCTGGGGCTGAGTGGGGTGCAGAGTGGTGGAAAGGGATGGGGATGGGAAGGAGGTGTGCTGAGCGGACTTGGACGCGGGCATGAGGCCTGCGCGAGAACTCGAACGTTGAGCAGTTGATAGGGCCTCGTGAGATTGAGATTGAGCGAGAGAGTGGGCTTAAGAGGGAGTCAGGGCACCCCCACAAGTTACCTTACACTCCTCCTGAGGCGTCTCACAAGGTACCTTACGGTCCACAGAAAAGAAGGGGGAGGAGTTGGGCGACCAGTCGGGCGTCCCTCTCTCCGCCACCACCACCGCCTGCCTGCCCAGCCGTTCCGACTGCGTGCGGCGCTGCTTCTCCACGAGCGTTCCCAGCCCCACGAACCACATCTCCGCCTCGTCCGTGTCCTTGCAGATCTGCCCCACCACCCCCACCACCACCAGCAGCACAGAACAGCACAGCACACAAAGTTCACTTTTGAGAATCCTCAAAAACGATAAAAGCAGAGCTTAGATCACACTCTCCGCTGTGTGTTCTCGCCCTAGGGCTGTTGGCTGGAGGACGAAGGGATGGGCGAGATCGAGCATGCAGGCTCATGGATACGAGAAAGACAAGGCGTTATTGAGTTCGTGCAAGGGGAGGGGAGGGGAGGGGGGGGGGAGGGGAGGGGAGGGAAGGGGCTGCCGGCTGGATCGACGGTGAGATCGCACATGCAAGCGCTCACAGAATCGAGCAGCAAGGCACTGGAGGTTTAGCAGGGAGGAGGCATGGTGCAACGGGAGGGATGCGACATACGACGTCGATGGTCCTCTCGCCGTTGCAGAAGATGATGGAGAAGGACTGGTTCTCCTTGTCTGGCCTCAGGTGCCGGTGGAATATGGCCTGTCGACACACACGCACGCACGCACACACGCACGCACGCACAAGTACGAACGCAAGCACGCACGCACATGCGCGCATGCACGCACGCAGGAGGAGGAGGAGGAGCTGGTGTTAACAACGGAGGGCAGCAGAAACGGCGAGTTGATGAGGTACATTCACGATATGGAAATCAGAAACGGCTTTTAAGAGCTTTGCGAAGCATCACAACTTTCGAGGACGGGCTCACTCACTGTCTTCTGGCCCCACGCGATCGTGCTGACTGCGGAGAGAGGAAGCGACTTCTCTCGGTCGCCGGAGAGATACACCAGCTCCGTTTCGTCCTGCATCGCAACGAGCGAGAGGACGCGGGACACGCTCGTGGTAATCCATGCAAAGGTAACGGTCAGCCATGCAAATGCAGCGGTAAGCCATGCAAATCTAGCGATAGGTTCGGTGTTCCGGCGATCACTGCGTATCATTTCGACTCGCGATGGCGTCTGTATATGGAACCTCACGACGACCCACCCCCCTTAAACAATCAGTTTATAACAGAATCTCGCAGCCTTGACGAAGAAACACGCCCTAATATAACAAACGCCGGCGCAGCAGAATGTGCGAATCCGAAAAGGTTTTCACGAAGAAAAACGACAGACGATGCTACGGAAAGGGATCAACGTACGGCAGACAGACGGAAATAGCAGGCTCGCGGCCTTCCCAGTCGGCCATACTTCAACAGCCGCGTCCCTTTCTTCATTGCGATGACCGCCTGCAAACAGGACGTCGGTACTCCAATAAGCAGCAATCCGCGGAAACCCAAACGTCTGGCAGAATGGATAGCAGTCAAACCCTAATCTGAGGATCCCCTGATGAACTGACCTGCTCTATATCACGGTCCGAGAACCCCCTCTTATAGCTATCAGCCACGCGAGGCTGAACCATGCCCTTAAGGGTCTTAGAGGACGGAATCATCCTGTGCTGTAATCTACCCACGTGTTAATCAGTCAAGACTAAGCGGTTTCTACCAGCCTACGACGATCCAGCTGCAAGTTAATTCGTGCAGTGCACCGTGTACGCGATAAAGGTCCACCGCCTGAATGCATCCCGACGACGTTAAGTGCCGAATCACAAACTGTCATAAACAATATCTATCAGATCGGCAGCGCGACAGGACGAATGGATTCCGGCGTCCACGAGTTGAAGTTAGCAGTAAGATCGACATGAGCAGCCAATGCATCACTCGAATGAACAAAGCCTGGAGCATGGATCCTGAAACCACTTAAGTCCACTCCTAAAAATCCCTACAATTGCCGGTGGAAAAGGCGAATGTGGACGAGTGGTGCATAGGATCCATCATATGTGTGCTTCGTCAGCAGAAGCTGGCCAGAAAACAGTTTCGCTACATGCTCGCTGCTCGTGAGCGAAATGAGAGGATTCAGGCTGACTGAGAGAACAGGATTAGGAGGAAAGGGAGGAGGACCAGGCAGCACACCCTTCTGGAATCTCATATGCTGGTGTGTCTCAAAATTATCTGTCGGTTGTGTCGATGCCGGACGGACGACAGACGGAACGGGAAGCTGACGAGAGCTAAAAGAGCTGACGGAACACCTGTTTGTCAATCCCGAGGGTGATGGAGAATTGTGATTCGTTGATTGGCCAACTGTTGTGGCTATGCATCAAACGAATGTCAGGGCCGTCCCCTCCCTCGATCGACACGAGATCGCCGTGAAAAACCGATCGGGCACACCGATCGCAGGGTTGGTAGGAGGTGACAATCGGGGATCGATCCCGAGCCCAAGGTGACAGGATCGAAAATACAAGGGGGAAAAACTCTCGATCCTACAAAATCCGAGATCGGTGTGGCCACGAAGGCACATCGATCGTCATCAGCGGAGGTGACAAGATCGTTGGGCACCAGTTACTGTAGATGCGCAAGCCATCTCGATATCAGGTTACCCTGTCAGCTGCGACACTGTAGCTTTCCCTCAATCGATGGATAGCAGAATCGATCAAGGGAGGTGCGCGCCCTCATGCTGGGTCTGAACTGTATAGGGCTAGGCCCGCGAAAACTGTGTCAGATGCCGTCACCAGCCTAGTGTTTCACCGTTTTGAGAAATCTCGCTAAGATACAGCTTAGACAAGAGTCTCAACACTAACAAGGCTCATTATTTCCATTCCTACCACCGTAAACCTAAAATCGAGCAAGTGTATTAGGTTCTTAGCAGGGAGGACATGCGCTCTGCCCGAAATTGAGGGCGTGTTCCAAATGGCTATAAGACGACCATCATACTGGATTATCAGTGCACTACCGCGCCAAGAGCTGTGTGGGCTCGACAGACCTTTCTTTGCACCCTTCCTTGGCAATATGCGCCCTCCATTCGTGACTGCCTCCTTGACTTCAAAACAGACCTCCGGATGGATCCCTGCACGTGCACCAGCGTCCACAGAAGGCAAGTGTCTCATGATGTCTGGTCTGGTGATCATTGCCACTCTGACGTGTCATCCTCGCTCCGCTGTCGCCTGCGTTCAGCACATTTGCTGACGGGGTGGTCAACGCAGCAATGGAGGTGGTGTGAAATTTTAACGGTAGCAATTTCTGGTTCTCCCTCCCACGGAAGGCTATGTCACTAGTCGTCGAAGAACATTGTTTCTTTGGAGATTGTTTCTATGTGGACTGGAAAATACGCATATATTCTGCAGCAACATTGCATGGTCCATTATGTACATGCGTGAATGGCTTCTGGCTTTTAAAGCGCGTGGTCTAACAGTTTTCCAGTGCACTGTACTGTGCAGAGTTCTTTTTCACCAGTGCCCGTTCATCGAGACGAGCACCCAAGAATGCCTCCAACCCAATGCCGTTCATGCCACTCCTCTTGGTCGTCCGCCACCCGCCAACTGACCACAGGTCACGAATCTCACAAGGACTCGCTCGCTGGAGGGCTGACCCTGAACTGAAGCCGCAGCTATGCACGTTCCTTGTGCTTCTTGGGTTGAAGATTTCTCCACCAATGTGTGATTCCACCAGCCGCTCTTGTCTCGTCTGTCTTGAAACCCCCGATGTGTCCATCTCATTAAGGACCGAACCACACGAGTATGTCACAAGAAGCCAAGAGAAAAGGACGTGTGCTTTCATAAAAAGGGACCTTACGTTCATGGCTTGAGCTGGAATTCTCCAAGTATTATCCGAAACTCCACGATACGAGATAGTCCTTCATGGTATAACAAGTGGACAGTGAGCCATACTTGCTAAGAGAGTTCGGGCGGTGTTCTGTGCCTCGTAGCGCATGTCGCCATAGTGAACGCCCAGATAGCCAGGACCAACCGAGATCCTTCTCAGGTTCTATCAGGCCTGTACGAGGTTCCCTTGAATTCCCTCAGCGCAAATTCTCCGAGGCCAATATCTAGCGACATCAGACACGCCAAGAGGACAGATTGACTTATTTATAGGTCTCGTGTAACAGTAGTGAACCCGTAAGCTTCAATTACCTCGTAAGAATATGGAGGCGCGCGAGATCAACTCCTTCTATAGTTCTCGGGGGCCCAATTCCCGCAGCACCGCTTCTCACGCCGCCACCAGTAGCAGCACCGGCAGCGGTAGCGGCTGCGGCGGCGGCGGCGACGGTGGCGGCGGTGGCGCACGCAACGATGCCCGTCGCGCGGCCTCAACTAACAAGCTCGAGCCGCAACCAGCACGCGACGGGGGCGACGCGCGTCAACTACCGATTGGACGTCGAGGCGGCAATGGCGTTAGTACCACCACCGCTGCCTCGTCCCTCCTCGACCGCCGCAATCGCCGCTCCCTCACCCCATTGGCCACTGGTGGACTTACTATCACAGCTCGCGCTGTCAGCAAAGTGAACCCTAGCAGCAGCAGCAGCCGAAGCGCTCGGAGTAACGCCGCGCGTATCGCCGGCTCGTCGATCAGCGCGATTCACGGCGAGCCGGTTTCCGCGAGAGGAGTGCGCCGCGGTCCAGCCGTCTGGGAGGAGCAGCAGCCGTCAGGCAGCCGGTCGGCGCGCTACGTTTCAGCCGTCAACGTTGACGACGATGACGACAGGATTCGCTATTCTCCGCCACCCCCACCGCTTCAACGAGAACCCCATGCGCCGCGTTTTAAAGTCGCGAACTCGCCTGACGAAAGCACATCGCCTACTAGCGACGTGGTAACGCCGCGATCCATGCCGGGATTCGCGTCAAGACGGCCGGTTAACTCTCGCGCGCGAAGCGGCCCGTTAGCGCCTCGATGGAGACCAAGACAAGGCGCCGCGGTTCGCGGCATGCGAGATCGCGACGTGGCGCGCTACGACGAGAGCGGGTCGCGATCTGCCAAGCTGGCGTATCTAACGGGATTACCGTGGACGCCGACAAGCGGTGCGAGCGGGACGTTACCGTTGGTGAGCCCGATGGACAGTCGCGCGATTCGTCGCATGAAGAGTGCGACGAACGTGCAGACTGAGCTGCGAAACAGCGGCGCGTCGCCGAAGGCCGTGCGACGGAATAAGCGGGTCAACATCGACCTCCAACCCACTACGCTGGACCTCCCCTGCCATAGTCCCTCCACACTCCCCCTCTCCTCTCACCCTCATACTGCCCACTCCCCTTCCTCTCGCCCCTTGCCCCAACGCGCGTCTTTTCCCCCCGACCCTGTCGTTGTTCCTGTCGCTTCCGCCTCCTCCGACGCGCCCTACCCCGGTGCTGACGGCGCTGCGTCAGTTTCCCCGTCGCCGCGCCGCGCACGCTGCTTGCAATCGACGTCTATGTCCTTGGATCTCTTCTCTCCGTGCCGCATAGCGAGTACAAGCTTGTATCGACACCGCCTGACGAAGAGCCACGGCGGCGGATTGGAAAGCGGCGATTCTCGCAAGCCGTCCTTCCCCCGCCCCTTGCTCTCTCCTCCGCTTCCGCTCCCCCCTTCCTACGGCTCCTCCGCCGTCCCTTCCCCCGAGTCCAAACCCGGCGGAACGGGCAGCGGAAGCGGGCGGAGCAGTGGCGCAGGCGGCGGAACCGGGGGCGGAACCGGAGACGGCGGGGGCGGGGAAAGGGCGGGGAAGGGGGAGCGGCCGTGGCATGCGCCGATTGACCCGTCGCCGACCACCCCTCTGCAGCTGAAGCTGAGTCCATCCAAGGGAAAAGAGGGGAGCGATGGGGAGACGGCGGGGGGGTGCGTCGCGCGGGGCGCGCCGGAGGGGAGCGATGGCGGAGAGTTGGAGGCGCCTCCGGAGGAAGAGCTTTCCGCCGCTTGCGCTTCCGCCGGTTCGTTTTCCTCCGGAACTTGTAGCGGAGACGGCGGCGATAAACGCGGTGGCGTAGCTGCCCAGCTAAATTTATCTCTGCCCGGGTCAGGGTCCGTTGCTCCTCTTGACGAGAGCCTGTTCGAAGTGGAAGAGGCGGAGAAAGGAGAGGAGGAGGACGAGGAGGAGGAAGAGGAAGAAGAAGAGGGGGAGGAGGAGGAAGAGGAAGGAGAAGAGGAGGAGGAGGAGGAGGAGGAGGAGGAAGAGGAGGAGGAAGCAGAAGAGGACGAGGAGGGGGAAGTAAGGGTCGAGAGTGAGGGAGCAAGTGGGGATAGGGATGAGAATAGGGATCATATGGGTGAAGTGGAGGAGGAGGAGGAGGGGGAAGAGGAAGGGGACGGCGACACAAGAATGCATGCTGCTGCCGCCACTGATGCTACAGCGATTGAACCAGCTCCCAGCGTTTCTCCTCGAGACCTGAGGTCAGCATCTGTGCCGGCTGCTGTGTCTGAATCGCAGCCACACAGCAAGCACGAGCACCACCGCTCGCGCTTCTTTCACTCCGCCTCAGGAAAACTCACCGCGTATTTTCAAAAACTGCCCAAGAAGCTGCCCAAAAATATCCACCTCCTGACGTCCCCGCGTGGTTCGTCTGCGCATGCAGCCGCCCAGAACGTGCGCCTCACGCCGCCCCAATCGTTCCTTCCGATCAAACCACTTGCCACTCCAGTCCGCGCACTGCCGCCCAGTGAGACCCCATGCCGCCCCCTGGCGCCTGCAGAAACTTGTGGGGAGGAGAGTGAGGGTATAGGAGAGAAGGAGCAAGGGAGCTTGGTGCAGGATGGGAGTGAATGGCGCGAGCAGAGTGCAGGCAGCGGCGAGAGTCCCTGCAGTGTGGTTACCAGCAGTAGGGTTACCAAAAGTACCAGCAGTAGGGTTACCAGCAACACACGCAGCAGAGACGGCAGCCATGGAAGCAGCAACGCGTGCAGCACGGGGAGCACAGTGGTTGCTACTCCCACACCCCAGAAATGCTCTTCGCAGGAAAGGGAAACCACAGCTGCTACTGCTGCCCTTCAGAGTGCCTCCCTGTCAGCTGCTTGTGCTGCTGCTCATGCTCCCGCCAGCACCACTGCTCCAACTAAAGCTCTCATAAGCACTGCTGTTGCTGATCATTCCAAAAGCACCATTTTTGCTGTTAATTCTAACTGCAGCACCACCGCCACTGGCGGTATTCTCAAGGGCGCGCACTCGGGGCTGAGCCGGGCGGCAGATCATATCTTGGGGCAGGCGTACGAGGATCTGAGTGAGAGATACGCGGTGGAGGGGCGGCAGCTGGGCAGCGGGCAGTACGGCGTGATTCGGCGGTGTGTGGAGGAGGGCACTGGGCGGGTGTTGGCGTGCAAGATAATTGACAAGAGGAAGATCAAGGTAAGTGTGTTTCGGGCTGAATCAGTCACTAATGGAGTCATTCTCACTGCATCTTTGCATTTCTTTCTACAATGTCTCAGACCGCCGCCTCCCACTCTCTTCCCCGCCCCCCCTCCCCACCAGACGCCAGCGCACGCAAGCTAGTGACTTGCGGAGCGAGGTGGCAACCCTGCAGCAGCTGCTGCACGGGCACCCATCAGTCATCACTTTCGTCGATGCCGTAGAGGACTCTCAGCATGTTCACCTGCTCTCCTCATGGACCTCTGCTCCCCCTCCCCCATCCCTCTCCCTTTCCCTCGTTGTCTCCCACCAGACCATGGCCCAAGCTAGTGACTTGCGGAGCGAGGTGGCAACCCTGCAGTTGCTGCACGGGCACCCATCAGTCATCACTCTCATCGATGCTCTCGAAGATTCCCACCACGTTCACCTGCTCATGGACCTCTGCTCGGGCGGCGATCTCTTCGACCGCATCTCGTTGGGCGGCGCGCTAAGCGAGCAGTGCGCGGCCGGCGTGTGTCGGCAGCTAGCGGAGGCGCTGCTGCACTGCCACCGACGGGGGGTGGTGCATCGAGATGTGAAGCCGGAGAATATCCTCCTGGTCGGAAGCCGAGGGGCAGAGAAAGGAGCGAAGTCAGCTGTGGAAGGAGGAGGAAACAGCAAGATTCGAGACTCCAAGGCTCCTCGGATCAAGCTCGTGGATTTTGGAATCGCGAGGTTTTTCCGGGACGGGGAGAAGATGCGGGACTGCCTCGGCACACCCGAGTACATGGCTCCGGAGCTGCTCCTAGGGTCGTACGGGCCTGAAGTGGACGTGTGGAGCGCAGGCGTGGTGACGTATGTAGCCATCTGTGGTCATCCGCCGTTCTGGGCTTCGGCCTCTATGGGCCAGTCGTTGCAGGAGGCGATTCTGACCAGGGATGTGACGTTTGCGACGCCTGGATGGGTGGGTGTGTCGGCGGGGTGTAAAGAGCTTATAAGGAGGATGCTGCATAAGAATCCGCGGAAGAGGATTACCCTTCTGGAGGTGCTTGGTGAGTGCTGGTGTTTCCTACTCCATCTGTCCTCTGTTTCTCCAATCATGCTACATTCCCTGCATTCCATGCGCCACATACACCACTGGACACTGTACCTCCCACCATATTCACCTACTGGCACCACAGGCCATATGCATCTCGCCTGAGAGCTCATGATTCCTCCCCACGCGTCGCCCCGATTGCAGGTCACCCCTGGATACGCAGCAGCGAGAGCAGCTGAAGAGCCCATGAACAGCAATGGGAGCTAGTTATAAGGCAACGAGGCAACAAGCAAAGCAAGTAAATCAGCAGCTGCAGCAACGAGGGCAGCCGGTAAGCCACACATATCAACAAGTTCACTCACCCATGTCAGAATGTTATAGTGCTTACTTTGTATAGGCTATAGTGGGGTAGCCCATAAGGGGTACAACCCAATTAGGGTTGTATTTGTACCCAGCTCTTTCATAGTTAATTCATTCTCGTTCAGTAATTTCGACATGGTTTCAGAGCAGGTCCTTCCTTAGGGCCCACCACAGCGTTGCCCCACTAACTGCCCTACCGTATTCCCTCGGATAAAAGACCCCCCCATAATAATGTTCCCGGGACTTAAATACGGGGGAGGTATACAGTGCCCTAGATATCAGACTTTGGAGTCTGAATCAGAGTCCGTTCAGACTTTTTTTTTTTACCTAGTCTGAACTCAAAGAATTTATTTATGTACCTTGTCTGATTTTCCAGAGTTTTTTTCTTATGAGTTGTCTGAAATTTCAGCCTAATTTTACTAGGGTAGGCTGAGCCTCAGACTTGTATCGGGGGTACACTCTGCGCGCTTATCGGAGCAAAGTTTCTTGGAAGTTTCCTTCCGATATGCCCACTTCCGAGATGGCAGTGGAGTGCCAGGACGTGAGCAACGCTCACTTCGACAGTTGGGACATCCAAATACACTCGTTCGTCGAGAATATCTTCCAGTTACGCTGAGGAAATGGTTGCGTGATTACGAGATTTCTGAGGACAAAATCTCGTCACATGTAAGTTATCGCTAATGTATTGTAAAGAATAGGTGACTTTGATGCTGATTCGCTGTAAAAACATCTGCAGCACGCACTGGTGTGAATTGCGAAGTTCCTAATCCATAGTGAAAGTTTCGTGTGGCACTGTCTGATCCTCACATGCCACGCCAAGCAACAGTTTTTGCCTGCTGCCAGCTCAGCTGCGTGGCACTTGGCCCACCTGATACAGATCGGGTGAACGATCGAGTCCTTGAAAAGCAAATCCAAAACTGACAAAATCGGCACACATGCGAGAAAATGGGTACAGAACGGTAATCACACACATGACAAAACGAAATGAGATCAGCAGAGCAGAAACAACCATGCGCTGCACGTGACAAAAACACCGGAACGCCGCCGACATGAGCAGAGGTGATGCACGAGCACGAGCACGTTGCCTGATGCGTTGGTATGGTAGGCTGTAATCAGCTTCAATGCTATTATAACGGCTTTTACGAAACTGCATGAACATCTTAAAATTTGAAGTAACTCTGACAGTTCAGACAAAAAAATTTGTGCTTGTCTGAATTTTCAGACTAAAATTTTGAGGCACCTCTGACAGACAGAGTTCCAGGAGGGGTGTACTCTGAGGCCTCAGACTACCTCAAAACGAATCTAGGGGCCTGGGGGTATATTATTCAAGACTGTTTTCCTTATACCCCCCAATTGGGGTGAAATCATTATAAGACCCCCCCCCCCCAAACCTCAAAAGTGTTTTTTAGAGGTTAATTCATGTCAATTAAGCAAGCAGTGGCACATAGTAGGCCACAGGAGTCACAAAATACAATCAAAGCAGCCTCTCAACACCCAGCTAGCTCCACTCTTCACCCACCACCTTGGAATCCGCCCCCGCCTTGCTACTCATCTTCGTCACCCGCCACCCACTCCTCTACCTCAGCCCCCTCATAGCGACCAAGGGCCACCATTCATCCCCTTCGTCGCTCCACTCGTCAGCTTCGTTCGCGCTTCCATCGTTGGACTCGCTCGAGTCTGACTTAGCAGGTACTGCCTCCTCATCGACCTCCTCTGCTTCAGCGGCCAGCACGGCCTCCTCCTCCATCTCGACGGTCACATCGGGAGGGGAGACCACAGGGGCCGGGTAGAACGGGTTGGGGACCAGTTCATCCTACTCCTCCTCCATCACGTCTTCCAGCACCTCCACCTCGCCGGAATCCCGCATGTGCTCCAGGATCAGATGATCCTGGCTCCCGTCCTCTGCGTTGGAGATGCCGCAGGTGAGGAATGCTTTCCTCACCATCTCCTCCGGAATGTCGGCCCACGAATCGGGCCTGACGTGCCTGAATCGGGCGTTGACACCATGATGACACCCTTTTTCTGCCTAATGCTATGCCTGGCATTCTTCGCGCTTTGAATTTAATATGCCGTGCTAGTCCCGCTATGCTAGACTCTGCCAAGCTGCGCTCCCCATTGCACAGAGGTGGGTCCGTTCCCTAGCGGTGTCAATTTCGCTTGTGCACGAGACGTGGGAGAGATAGCGCGACTCTGTGCTGAGAGCCTCACGTGCCATGCAAGGGATGAGACGTCCGAGGCGGTCTGACACAAAGCATTGGACGTGGTACACGTTGGTCGGCCCCCAATCTGTAATGCTGGTTACCATTGAATATGGGCCAATGAGCATGAAGCATTCAGATGCTTCATGGATTGTGCCCGGTTTCTCGGCTCAGGACATTCGCGGGGTGTTTCCTCGTTTAAAAAACACAAATTTGCATTACAACACCATTGCATTTCATTATATTTTAAAAAACATAGCACTTATAATAAGACCCGGGTCTTATAGGTTTTTTACAATTTAATAAGACCCCCACATTTTTTTGTGAAATCAATAACAAACCCTAGGGTCTTTTATCCGGGGGAATACGGTACCTGGCGCGCCGCCCTGCTTGCCCGTCGCGCCGCCCTTTGCAGCCCGCGCGCCGCCTTTAGCAGCCTGCGAGCCGCCCCTAGCAGCCCGTCGCGCCGCCCCTGCAGCCCGCTCGCGGCCCGCTCGACGCTCTTGCAGCCCGCGCGCCGCCCCTGCGGCCCGCTCGCCGCCCCTAGCAGCCTGTCGCGCCGCCCCTGCAGCCCGCTCGCGGCCTGCGCGCCGCCCCTGCAGCCAGCTCGCCGCCCCTGCAGCCCGCTCGCTGCTCGCTTGCGGCCCGCGCACCGCCCCTGCAGTCTGCTCGCTGCCCTCTTGCGGCCCGTGCGCCGCCCCTTAGCCCGCTCGCCGCCCCTTGCGGCCCGCTTGCCGCCCCTTGCAGCCAACGCCGCCCCTTGCGGCCTGCTCGCCACCCCTTGCAGCCCGCTCGCCGCCCCTTGTGGCCCGCGCGCCGCCCCTTGCAGCCCGCTCGCCGCCCCTTGCGGCCCGCTCGCCGCCCCTTGCAGCCCGCTCGTCAACCCTTGCGGCCCGCTCGCCGCCCCGTGCAGCCCGCTCGCTGCCCCTTGCGGCCCTCTTGCCGCTCCTTGCACCTTGCTCGCTGCCCCTTGCGGCCCGCTCGCCGCCCCTTACAGCCAGCTTGTCGCCCTCTGGCAGCCCGCTCGCCGCCCTTTGTGCTGGCCGCCCTAGCCGTGCGCCGCCCTGCCCTGCCCTGCGCACTTCCCTCGTGCTCGCGCGACACCCTGTTCTGCCCGCTATGGCTTCTCTCACTGAACTCACGTTCGATCATGAGGGCCGTCCGATCCAGTTCGATACGTGGCTCGACGACTTCCAGCTGTATCTACTGAGCGATTCTAGAGACAGCGTTTCGTTGTTTGACCACATGTCTGGAGTCTCTCTCGCCCCTCCCGCCACAGCTGACAGTGCGACTCACTCACAATGGCTTACCCGTGACGTTGATGCTCGCTTAGCCATTCGCAACCACCTGCCGTTAGCCGAACGTGCTCACTTCGGACAGCACAAGACTGCTAAAGCACTGTACGACGCTGTAGTCGCCCGTTACTCCTCCCCTGCCACTGCTGCTCTAGGCCGTCTTCTACTGCCCTACCTCTTTCTCGAGCTGTCCGCCTTTGCCACGGCGGTAGAGGACCTTGTTTCCCACCTTCGCACTAGCGACGCTCGCTACCGCGCTGCCCTTCCAGCAGAGTTCCTTGACAGGAACCCGCCCCCGATGTACATCACTCTCTACTTCATAGTCACCCGCCTCTCTGACTCTCTTCGCGCTGTCAGGGACCACTTTCTCGCACTTGACCCCACAGCCCTCACTGTGGACCTGCTCGAGCAGCACCTCCTTATAGCTAAGACTAGCATAGTCGCTCCCCCTCCCCCCTTGCCCCCTCCTACGCCTCTGCTGCTGCTGTTGAAATCCTTGGTGCTGCGGATGTCGGGGCTGCTTCTGCTGTTAGTGGGAAGCGCCGTAGCAGCAAGGGCAATGGTGGCAGGGGTGGTGGCGGTGGCAGCGGGGGTGGTAGTGGAGGCGGCAGTGGAGGTGGTGGAGGTAGCGGAGGTGGTGGCAGCGGTGGGAGTGGTGGCGGGAGTGGGGGCTTTGGTGGCGGTAGTGGTGGAGGCGGTGGGGGTGGCGGTAGTGGCAGCAGTGGGAGTGGTGGCAGTCGGGGTGGAGTTGTTTAGAGGGGAGGTTCTGGCGGTGGCCAGAGGCAGCAGCGCCAGCAGCGTCGGAGCGAGACCCCTTTGCCCCAGCAGCTTCGTGAGTGGTTTGCTCAGCGTGGGGCGTCTGGGGGTAGTGTTAGGTGCCCGTATGTCATTCGCACGGGTGACCGTGCTGGTCAGACATGCGGGAAGCCTCACACTCAACACCGCTGCTTCTCCCGCCTAGACAACGCTTGGCGTGCTATGTTTGGTGACGAGGCTGAGTGCCCCCGCTGGGCACAGCTGCTTAGGTCTTGAGTTGATATCTTTGCTCTTGACTATGATGCTATCCTTACTGCTATGTATGCCTTGTCTGTTAGTGCTGAGGGTGACTTCTACCTATGTGTGCCGTCCGACCCATGTATAGAGGCTACTGCTCTAGGTGCTAGTGAGTCTACTCTCCGTGGTACTGCGCCTGCTGCGGCCTTGCACACCTTTACGCTTGACTCAGATGCTTCCCGCTGTTTCTTTCGCGACAGCACCACCCTCACGCCTCTCTCTGCACCTGTACTGGTCCGCCTGGCTCACCCCTCCGGGGGCCCGGTTCTTGCCCGTTCCTCCAATGTTCTCCCGTGTCTGGTGGTTCCGTCCAGCTCACTCTGGGGTCTTCACCTCCCCTCGTTCTCTACGAACTTGGTGAGTACCGCTGCCCTCCAGGATGCGATGGTCACTACCACCACTCCTGGGGGCCAGCGTGTGTCAATCTGCACGTGTACACGGACGGGCCATCAGCTGGCCACGTTCACCCGTCGGCCTGGGTCGAGTCTGTACACACTGACTACCGAGCCTCCTCAGGTAGCTGCGTCTGCCCAGGTATCCGCGTCAGGTCCAATAGCACCCCCCTGCTCGTGTCGCCTCCTCTCGCACCAGACCCTCCTGTGGCACCTCCGCCTTGGTCACCCCTCCCTGCCACGCCTTCGTGGCATGCATTCCCGCCTCCTTGTTTCTAGTCTTCCCAGGTCTCTACCTCCCCTCCCGCCCTCGCCTGCCCCGCCCTGCCTTCCTTGCGTCGAGGGGCGGCAGCGCGCCGCTCCTCACTCCTCCTCGTTTCCCCCGATGACTGCTCCACTGCAGACTCTCCACATGGACGTGTGGGGCACAGCCCGCGTCAGTGGACATGACCGCGAGCGCTAATTCCTGCTGGTTGTTGACGACTACACGCGTTACACCACGGTCTTCCCCTTGCGCAGCAAGGGTGAGGTCCCTGATGTCTTGATCCCTTGGATCCGCGCAGTTCGTCTCCAGCTTCGCGAGCGGTTCCGTGAAGACCTTCCGGTCCTGCGTCTGCACTCTGACAGAGGTGGTGAGTTCTCCTCTGACCTCTTGCGGGACTTTTGTCGTGGGGAGGGCATCCTCTAGCTGTTCACGCTTCGGGCCTCCGTGCAGCAAAATCGGATTGCTGAGCGCCGCATTGGCTTAGTCATGGAGGAGGCCCGTACCTCCATGACCCATGCGGTTGCTCCCCATTTTCTGTGGCCGTTTGCGGTCCGGTACGCTGCGCATCAGCTCAACCTCTGCGCTATTCCCTGCGTCTTCCTTGGCTTTCCCCCTGACGCGCCTGGCTGTCAATTTTACCACCCCACCTCGCGCCGTGTTTTGTCCTCTTAGGACGTCACGTTTGACAAGTCAGTTCCCTCTTACCGTCTCTTCCCCTACCGCACCGCCCCTCTCCCCCCCCTGCCCCTCTTTCTTGCTCCAGGCCCCCCTTCGATAGACCCCCTCCCCCCTCAGGGTCGTGCTCCCTCAGGTGTGTTTCAGGTAGACCCACTCCCCGGGACTATGCAAGTTGAGGCCGCTGTAGACTCAGGTGCTGCTAGAGGTGCTGCGTCTGGGGTTGCTGCGTCTTGGGGTGTTGCGTCTGGGGGTGCTGGCGCTGGAGCTGGAGGCACTAGCGCTGGCGGCATTGGAGCTGGAGGAGTTGGAGTTAGAGACCCTGGCGTTGGAGGCACTGGAGCTGGAGGCACTGGTGCTGGCGGCGCTGGAGCTGGAGGAGCTGGAGCTGGAGACCTTGGAGCTGGAGGCACTGGAACTGGAGGCACTAGAGCTGGAGGCACTGGCGCTGGTGGCGCTGGAGCCAGAGGAGCTGGAGCTGGAGACTTTGAAGCTGGAGGTGCTGGAGCTGTTGACCCTGGAGCTGGAGTTGCTGGTGCCGGAGGCGCTGTGCAGCGACGCCTGTTTTTCGTTCCGCCGCCACCGTCGTCTTTGCCGCCACCTGACTCGGTCCTTCGCCAGGTTCGTAGTCTCCCGTCTTCTACTGGCCTTCCTTCTAGCTTACTGAGTTCACCGCCTCGCCAGTCGTAGCCACAGTTCCAGCCAGACTCCCCAGTGCCTGCTCCTTCTCTTTACGCTGAGCAGACAGACTCTTTTACAGGCGTCGTGAGCCTGAGTCTCGTCCTGCCCCGCCTGTTCGCGCTGTTCGCACTGGTCGTCGGGTTCCTCGTCCGCGTCCTCCTCCTCTCCCCGGCACTTACATTATGGCACTTCGTCCTTCCTCTGTTCCACTGCGAGTTCCTCTACCGCCTCCTCCTGAGTCCTCTCTTCCTGCCGTTCCTGACCCTGAGTCTGACCTAGCTCGTGCTGCTTGTCCCGCTGTCTCTCGTCTTCTCGCCACTGTTGTCACTAACCCTTCTTTTGAGTCCACTTCTGCGTCTGCCCTAGTTGCTGAGCTTGTTGACTTTGCTGCGGTCTGACGTCTCGACTACGCCACTAGTCTTGTTGCGGAGTCTGAGTCTAAATGTCCTCCGTCCGTCGGGGGTGAGTGTGCTCTTGGCACAGACGTTCTTGAGGACAGGCAGGAGGACTTTGAGTATCTTGCAGCTGCTGTACCTCATCTCGTGGCCATGCTGCTTGCCCCTGAGGGAGACCCGGATGCACCAGACATCCCGACCCCGCGCTCTTACGCAGAGGCGATTACGGGTCCCTACTCCTCTCAGTGGCAGACAGCCATGGACGCAGAAATGGCATCCTGGAAGTCTTCAAGCACCTACGTTGACGCAGTTCCCCCTTTTGGGGCGAACATAGTCGATGACATGTGGATCTTCATGGTGAAGCGGCCGCCGGGTTCTCCGCATGTCTTCAAGGCTCGTTACATTGCACAAGATTTTAGTCAGCGACAGGGAGTTGACATTTTCCAGACCTTCTCCCCTACCCCGAAGATGACCACTCTTTGGGTGTTGCTGCACGTCGCCGCTCAGCGTGACTGCGAGCTGCACTCTCTTGACTTCAGCACAGTTTTCTTGTAGGGCAGCCTGCACGAGGAGATCTGGCTGCGTCGCCCACCTGACTTCTCTTAGTCGTTTCCTGCAGGTACCCAGTGGAGCCTCTGGCGGCCAGTTTACGGTCTCCATCAGGCGCCTCGCGAGTGGCATGACACACTGAGGACGACGCTTGCGGCTCTTGGGTTTGCTCCTTCGACTGCTGACCTGTCGCTGTTTCTATGCACCGACACTTCGCTACCGCCGTTCTACGTCCTCGTGAACGTCGACGACTTGGTCTTTGCCACTGCTGACACTGAGGCACTGGCCCTTGTGAAGTTGGAGCTCCAGAATAGACACACTTGCACTAACCTGGGTGAGCTGCGCAGCTATCTTGGCTTGCAGATCACCCGGGACAGAGCACGGCGCACCATCACCTTGACTCAGTCACACATGGTGCAGCAGGTCCTTCAGCGCTTCGGCTTCCGGTACTCCTCGCCACAGTCCACTCCTCTGCCTTACGGTCACTCGCTCTCAGCTCCACCTTCGGACGAGTCCGTAGAGCCGAGTGGCCCGTATCTAGAGCTTATGGGCTGCCTCATGTACCTGATGACCTGCACTCGACCTGACCTTGCCTACCCTCTTAGCATCCTGGCACGCTACGTTGCGCCTGGGAGACACCGACCAGAGCACTGGGAGGCCGCTAAGAGGGTGTTGCACTACTTGCGCAGTACATCAGACATGGGGCTCGTGCTTGGAGGACGGGGTCCAGTTGTCCTCAGTGGACACGCAGACGCTTCTTGGGTTGACGACTTGGCTACGCAGCGGTCGTCACAGGGTTACACTTTCAGCGTTGGCTCCGGCTCTGTTTCTTGGCGGTCTACCCGCTCGTCCTCTGTTCTCAGTTCCAGTTGTGAGGCTGAGATCTACGCAGGGGCCATGGCTGCACAGGAGTTACGCTGGCTCACCTACCTGCTGATCGACTTGGGAGAGCGGCCTCGTTCTTCTCCAATCCTGTACGTAGACAACAAAACCATGATTGGCTTGTGTCAGGAGCACAGACTGGAGCACAGAACGAAGCACATCGCTCTGCGTTATTTCCTTGCGCGGGAGCCGTAGCAGTGTGGTCAGCTTCGTCTTGCTTGGCGACTCGGGCCAACACTGCTGATATATTCACCAAGGCACTTCAGACTGGTGATCATCAATGTTTCTGTAATGTTTTAGGCCTTGTGCCTACTTTGCCTCACTTGCTTACTACGTGACTTTGCTTGTACGGTGATCTATATATGTTCCTGCATTCTTACACTTGCTAGGGTATGATCACTGTACTGTTTTTTCTCTTTTATATAACTCTACATGTGAATTGGCCTTGTGGCCATTTGCTTGTGCTCGGAATGTGTGGTGACTTCCTGATCCACCCCAAGTTTGCTTTGCTTTTCTTGACTGGTCTTGTGACCACTTGTTCTCCCCCACTTTGCCTATGGGGGTGTGTCAGAATGTTTTAGTGGTTACTTTGTGTAGGCTATAGTGGGGTAGCCCATAAGGAGTACAACCCAATCAGGGTTAGTACTTGTACCCAAGTCTTTCATAGTTCATTCATTATCGTTCAATAATTTCGATAACCCAATGAGGTAACAGAGTTGCACTAGTTAATATATTCCCTCCAGATTATCATGGAGTTTACATAACCTATTAACCAGAGGACTGGCGTCTTTCGAGACATGCTCTCAAATGCTGATGGTGGCTCTCAGTGAGCTAGAAAGATTGAAGTGCAAGGGTGCTTGCTCAACTGTCAAGCTTGAAAGATGCAGGCAAACTATGAGCCATGCTTTATATGGTATGGAATGTATACTGTGGTAAAACCACACCATGGGTAGATTTTTTTTGGGCAGAATGCTGCTGGGATGTGTTAAATCATGCCAGGAGGAGGATTCCACTTGTTATTTATCCGCGACGCAACAGAGATTCAGTTGATCCCTTCGCATTCACACACTGTACAATGCAAGAGTCAAGCAAGTCAAACCAGTCAACTCGTACTAGTCAAGAGAGACATGCAGCCACCAAGTGCAGCAGCATGCCACCTAGTGTGTGCAGTGCACCACCCACACAGGAACATGTAGGGTGGCATGGGAAGGAGGCACCTCTACAGGTGCCTCCTCCAACATCCGAGGTGCTTCAAAGAGATAACCTTCCTCACTGCCTTGTCATTGCAGCTTGTCCCCTCCCATTCCCAACCCCCCTGCTTCTCCCAGTACCAGTTGAAGACTTGTGTGTGAGGAGAGGAAGCCACGCCACTTGCAGCTCGCATGGGCGCATGCACAAGCAAAAGCCATGCCAAAAGCACCGTTGGTTTGCTGCAGCAAACCAACCGCCTCTCTAGACATGCACAAGCATGCACAAGCATGCACAAGCATTCACAAGCATGCACAAGCAAAAGCCACGCCAACAGCTGCACCGCGCCGCACACGAGCACAATAAAAGTGCCACGCATGGCCGTACGCACAGGCAGGCAGGCCGAGGGGCCTCTCCCTGATGAGTCCACTCAATGTTGCCACGAGCCAGAGCCTTGCACAGCTTATGTGCACACCTCACTTGCACGTGTCACTTGCAACCACATGCGTTGGCTTCTTGGTTGAGACCCCACGCGCATTGCTTCAGATTTTGCACCCCGACTGGTGGGAGGCGAACAAGGGCGGGTGGGAGGCGAACAAGGGCGGGTGGGAGGGAAGATAGGGGGAGGGAGGAGAGGGAGGAGGTGAGGGAGGTGCTTTGGGGAGAGATGGGGGCAGGCAGACGAGAGGCAGAGTACCTCTCAACACAGACAAAAGTGCAAGACTGCAAGAATCTCCTTCTCCGTCCACCTTTGCACAAACTCGTAGCAGGGAGCGGCTGTGGTCATGTGATGTCAACTGTGTGCACCAGCACCTACTTCCATCTATTTACACAACCTGGTTGTGTTTACAGTACCTTGTTGCACTTACCACACCTCGTCACATCTACAGTACCTTGTTGCATGTAAAGTACCTCATTGCATCTACAGTACCTCGTTGCATCTACAGTACCTTGTTGCATCTACAGTACCTCATCCCATGTACAGTACCTCGTTGCAGTTGACGATTCCAAACTCGAGTCCGTCTATGAGGGCCCGGAAGCTGGCCTCCACAATGGATGAGTGCGCACCCACCTGGGGGGAGGGCAGGGAGGGGGGAAGAGGGAGGTAAGGAGAGTGGGGCAAGGGGCAAAGGGGGAGGTGGGAGGAGGTAAGGCGGATAGGGGGACAATGAGAAATCAAGTCCGTCTATGCGCCCCAGAAGCTGGCCTCCACGATTGATGAGTGCATGCCCCCTGGGGGGAGAAGAAGAGGGAAGGAGAGGAAGAGAAGAGGGGAGAAGTGAAGGGGAGGAAGGGAAGAGGGAAGGAAGGGAGGAGAGATATGCAGCACAGTTCAAACTAACTGTGTATGACATCAGCAATTCCCACTGTGCCCAACCCACCTACCATAGTCCACGTGCTGGTGCCTTATCCCCATTCACTCACCCCGCCTCACCGCACTGCAAACCTACCGTGGTCCACGTGGCTTCTGAGCTCTTATCACAGAAGTCAATGGTGACCCGAGTGGTGGACATGGTGCCGCTGCGTCTCTCAGAGGGCTCCAGCAGGCGAACACGGTAGTCCACCAGCTCTACTTGCGCCAGCTGGGGGAAATGGCAGTCCAATGAGGCCCTGTGCGGTTGAGAGCGGTTCAAGGGAGTGGGGCGGTTTAGGGGAGTGGGGTAGGGTGTGACGTTGAGGGTTTGTCAGTGCGCCTCTCAGTGGGCTCCAGCAGGCGAACTCGGTAGTCCACCAGCTCTACTTGGGCCACCTGAGGAAACTGGCAGTCCAGTGAGGCCCTGCGCTGCACGGTTCAGAGCGGTTCAGGGGAGTGGGGCGGGAGGGATGAGGGCAGGGAACGAGTGAGCTGGCTCCAGCAGTGGCACGCAGTGACTCAGCAGCTCTACTAAGGGACAGAGTCAAGCGGAATAGAGGGGTTGGAGGGTGCCGCGAGGGGCAAGGTGAGCTATGGACATGCTACAAGCACACGTAAACCTTTTCAGATGTCTCAAAAGTCTGTCTATGGACATGGCGAGCTACAAGCACACGCAAATGTGGGAACGATGCAGTCACACCCACAGCATCACCCACCAAGTTCACATGCACAGCATACTGAACTGCACCCACCACACAAACTCGTTACAGTCACACCCACTGGAGCACTCATTACAACCCCACACACACCTGAGGGCGTGGTTGAGGGCGTCAACTGGCCCGTTGCCCTCCGCTGCACTCATCTGATGGCGGCAGCAGGAGAGGAGAGAGGGGAGGGTGGGAGCAGAGGGACACAAGCACAAGACGGCAGCAGAGGATGGGAACAGACAGAGGGAGGATAGAGAGGATAGGATAGGCGTTGCGGGCTTTTTGAGAATGCATGGATGACTGCATTGACTGGCCTTGACCTGGTTTGACTTGACTGGACTGGGTAGGACCGTAGGGGTGATCAAAGGAAGTACGGTGTATCTGCTGTAACTAGCAGTCACACAGATCAAGCGTTACACTCGAGGCCAAACCACACCGCCCGTGCCGCCCGTACCTGGCTGATGCCGCCCACTTGGACCTTCACGATGGCCTGGCTATTACAGCTGGCGCCCTCCATCCACTCACTCTCCGCCACCACTGCCGCCTCCTCCCTCTCACTCTCCCTCTCCCTCCTCCTCCTCTCCCTCCTCTCCCCCTCCACTCCTCCCTCCGCATCACTCGCATCGCTGCTCTCCCCGCTGCTGCTCTCGCTGCTGCTGCTGCCTTTCACGGGTTGAGGCACGCCCAGGCGGTTGGTGGAGATGACAGAGAACTCGAGCACGTGGAAGCTGGTGGGGAGCAGAGGGCACAGCGGGAGTGCCACAGGAGGGAGATGGGCGGGAAACGGGGAGAGGGGTATGGGTGGAGCAGAGACGGAGTGAGTTGAAGCACGCCCAGGCGGTTGGTGGAAGCTGGTGATTGGTGGGTGGGATGGGGAAGGGAAGGGAAGGGAAGGGAAGGGAAGGGAAGGGAAGGGAAGGGAAGGGAAGGGAAGGGAAGGGAAGGGAAGGGAAGGGAAGGGAAGGGAAGGCGGCTGGAGGAGATGAGAGACTATTTGAGCACAAATCGAGAGTCGGCAAAAAACAGGAAGCTGGCGAGGCAGGGAGAGGAGGGCACAGAGTGCAGCACATGCCATGAGTTGCAGATCTCGCTAGCACCCGGCCCTCCCCAGATCCAGCCCCAACCGCTCTGCCTCCTCCTCCTCCTCCTCCTCCTCCTCCTCCTCCTCCTCCTCCTCCTCCTCCTCCTCCTCCTCCTCCTCCTCCTCCTCCTCCTCCTCCTCCTCCTCCTCCTCCTCCTCCTCCTCCTCCTCCTCCTCCTCCTCCTCCCACATGTTGCCCCACCGCTTCCCCAGCCCAAACCCTACCACCCCCAATGACACACCCCCCTGCTATCCCCTGCAGCTGGCACTCACGGAATCTGGTACTGCGCTCCTCGCCGCACGATAAGCATATCAACAGAAGCAGCGGCGTTCTCGAAAGCGAATACCCGCGCCTCCATCTGCTTGATGCGCGCCAACACCCGCCCCGCCTCCTCCCTCCCCAGGTCCAGCCCCGCTTGATGCACCTTCTCCTCCTTCTCCCATGTGTTTCCCCACCAGCATCCAAAGGCAAATCTTTCAGAGGCACCAACACCTTCACTACAGCTAGAACTTACGGGATCTGGTAACGCGCCCCTCGCCGCACGATGAGCATGTCCACCGAAGCAGCGGCGTTCTCAAAGGCAAACCCTCTTGCCTCCATCTGCTTGATCCGCGCCAACACCCGCCCCGCCTCCTCCCTCCCCAGATCCAGCCCTGCCCTTTCCGCCTTCTCAAGGATGTTGCCCCGGCCAGATAAGTCTGAGACGACGGATCGCATGGCGTTGCCGACCAGCGACGGATCACAATGATTGTAGCTCTCAGGCATCTGGTGTGTGGGGGGGGGTTGGGAGGCATGTGCGTGATGGGTAAGACTGTCTGCCCCGCCTCCTCCCTCCCCAGATCCAGCCCCGCCCGCTCCGCCTTCTCAAGGATGTTGCCGCGACCAGATAAATCTGAAACTACGGATCGCATGGCGTTGCCGACCAGAGAGGGGTCGCAATGGTTGTAGCTCTCAGGCATCTGGTGTGTGGGGTGAGGTGAGGGTTGTGGGTGGGGGGAGTGTTGTTGGGAATGGGCGTGAATTGACAGAGCCAGGTCCAGCCCCGCCCGCTCCGCCTTCTCCAGGATGTTTCCACGGCCAGATAAGTCTGAAACTACGGAGCGCATGGCGTTGCCGACCAGGGAGGGGTCGCAGTGATTGTAGCTCTCAGGCATCTGGTGGGGGGGTGAGGAGAGGGGCGGGCAGGGAAGAGAAGCGGATATACTCTGAGTCGACCCGCCTCCTCCCTCCCCAGGTCCAGCCCCGCCCGCTCCGCCTTCTCCAGGATGTTGTCGCGACCAGATAAGTCGGAGACGACTGATCGCATGGCGTTGCCGACTAGAGAGGGGTCACAGTGGTTGTAGCTCTCAGGCATCTGGAGGGGGGGAGAGGAGTGCAGTGCGGTGCAGTGGGTCAGTGGGTATAGCGCTCCGCCTTCTCCAGGATGTTGCCGCGCCCTGATAGGTCGGAGACGACTGAGTGCATGGCGTTGCCGACTAGAGAGGGGTGGCAGTGGTTGTAGCTCTCAGGACTGACAGCACGCACACACAACATTCACCTTACTCGGTGTCTACCTTTCTGAGAGCAGCCACGTGGATTCCCCCCTTGTAGGCAAACGCGTTGGCGCCCACGAACGGCTGGACGGGGCGGGGTTGAGTGGCTGGCTTTCGATGGCTTGACTCTTGCTGTTACTAGTATCCACCTTCATCACTGCATGCCTTTCTGAGAGCAGCCACGTGGATTCCCCCCTTGTGCGCGAACGCGCTGGCTCCCACAAATGGCTGGCAGCGCTGAACACCCACGTCCACCTGCTGGTCCCCCATGCAACAACCCCAGCGCTGCCACCCACACAACCCACCTTTCAACTGCCTACCTTCCTGAGAGCAGCCACGTGGATGCCCCCGTTGTGCGCGAACGCGTTAGCTCCCACAAACGGCTGGGCGGGGTTGGGCGGCTGGCATGCCTGTGGGCTTGCTGTGGCTTGACAAGTGAGGGCCCACGCTTCTGAGGCACCGTGAGCATATGAGACTTGCAAGGTACACTAGTAGTCGACGCACCTTCCTGAGAGCAGCCACATGGATGCCCCCCTTGTGCGCAAACGCATTGGCTCCCACAAACGGCTGGGCGGGGTTGGGCGGCTGGCCCGCCACCCGCGCAATCTCCCCGGAGATCTCCGCCAGCCTGGCGAGCGAATCCCCAGGCAGGCACTCGCAGCCCAGCTTCACCTGGAGAATCCCGATGGCTGTGACCTGGCAATGACGTGGCATGGGTGAGGGGTTGGAGCGTTGGGGGTCGGTATGAGGGTGAGAGTGGAAAGGAATGGAGGAACGGAGGAGGGAGGGAGGGAGGGAGGGAGGGAGGGAGGGAGGGAGGGAGGGAGGGAGGGAGGGAGGGAGGGAGGGAGGGAGGGAGGGAGGGAGGGAGGGAGGAGAGAAAAAAAATGCAATGACGGCATACCTCTAAACCACAAGGACCCAGAGAAATTGCACCCAGCCTTCACATCAACCCCCGACCCAGCTCCTAGAACTTACGATGTCAGCGTTGCCAGTGCGCTCCCCGTACCCATTGACACACCCCTGCACCACTCTCGCGCCCACCCACTTAGCACCCCCACTTAGCGCCCCCACTGAGCCTACCCAGCTTAGCACCCCCACTTAGCGCCCCCACGACTTAGCGCCCCCACCCACTTAGTGCCCCCACTAAGCGCCCGAAAGTATGAGGTGCAGGTTTGAGGTTTGAGGTGCAGGTTTGAGGTTTGAGGTGCAGGTTTGAGGTTTGAGGTGCAGGTTTGAGGTTTGAGGTGCAGGTTTGAGGTTTGAGGTGCAGGTTTGAGGTTTGAGGTGCAGGTTTGAGGTTTGAGGTGCAGGTTTGAGGTTTGAGGTGCAGGTTTGAGGTTTGAGGTGCAGGTTTGAGGTTTGAGGTGCAGGTTTGAGGTTTGAGGTGCAGGTTTGAGGTTTGAGGTGCAGGTTTGAGGTTTGAGGTGCAGGTTTGAGGTTTGAGGTGCAGGTTTGAGGTTTGAGGTGCAGGTTTGAGGTTTGAGGTGCAGGTTTGAGGTTTGAGGTGCAGGTTTGAGGTTTGAGGTGCAGGTTTGAGGTTTGAGGTGCAGGTTTGAGGTTTGAGGTGCAGGTTTGAGGTTTGAGGTGCAGGTTTGAGGTTTGAGGTGCAGGTTTGAGGTTTGAGGTGCAGGTTTGAGGTTTGAGGTGCAGGTTTGAGGTTTGAGGTGCAGGTTTGAGGTTTGAGGTGCAGGTTTGAGGTTTGAGGTGCAGGTTTGAGGTTTGAGGTGCAGGTTTGAGGTTTGAGGTGCAGGTTTGAGGTTTGAGGTGCAGGTTTGAGGTTTGAGGTGCAGGTTTGAGGTTGGTGCAGGTTTGAGGTTTGAGGTGCAGGTTTGAGGTTTGAGGTGCAGGTTTGAGGTTTGAGGTGCAGGTTTGAGGTTTGAGGTGCAGGTTTGAGGTTTGAGGTGCAGGTTTGAACCCCACTTAGCGCCCCCACTTACTTAGCGCCCCCATTATCCGCCCTACTTAGCGCTCCCACTTAGCGCCTCCACTTAGCGCCCCCACTTAACCCCCCCACCCACTTAACGCCCACACTTAGCGCCCCCACTTAGCGCCCCCACTTAGCGCCCCAACTTAGCGCCACGCGCATGCTCACTCACCCCTGGATCAGGTTCCCACACCCCTAGAACTTACAATGTCAGCGTTGCCGGTGCGCTCCCCGTACCCATTGACACACCCCTGCACCACTCTCGCCCCGGCTCGTACGGCCTCCACACTGTTAGCCACGGCCATGCCACAGTCGTTGTGGCAGTGCACTCCAACCCCCGCATCGCTCCCCCACTCGCCCTCCGCTGCGCCTCTTGCTAGCTCGTCCACCACTGAACGAGTCACCTCCTGGAGGGGATAAGGAAGAGGGGAGTGGGGCGGGCAGGGAAGGGAAATAGGGGTGATGGGATTCGTTTGAGACTCTCCCCTCTTCCTTATCCCGGCCCTTACAGCCTCCACACTGTTAGCCACGGCCATGCCACAGTCGTGTGCACTCCCACTCCCGCATCCCTCCCCCACTCGCCCTCCGCTGCCCCTTTTGCTAGCTCCTCCACCACTAAACGGGTCACCTCCTGGAGGGGATTTTGGGGGGAGAGGGGCGTGCAGGGAACAGGGGTGGGAGTGATGGGATTGGTTTGAGACTGTTGGCCACGGCCATGCATGCTCCTCTCCCCTCTTCCTTATCCCGGCCCTCACGGCCTCCACACTGTTAGCCACGGCCATGCCGCAGTCGTTGTGACAGTGCATGCCGACTCCCGTCTCCCTCCCCCACTCGACGTCAGCTGCACCCCACTCTAGCTCTTTCAATACCAAACGCGTCAGTTCCTAGAGGGGATATGGATAGGAAGGGTGGGGGAAGAGGGGGGTGCAGTGCAGGGAAGAAGCAATGGGAATGAGGAGCTGGTTTTGATGATTGCTGCACGATGCGTGTGAGGAATGGAGTGGGAGGTTTTGAACAGCGTTCTAGGAAGGACACATGCCGTGCTGTGTGACATGCGCCATGGCATGGCACGGCATGGTATGGTATGGCATGGCATGGCATGGCATGGCATGGCATGGCGTGGCATGGCATGCTGCCTCCCGCCATGGCATGGCATGATGACTCACGCTCACTGACTCACATGCACGCGCCATGGCATGGAGCCCCCGTTAGTGTCACACAGCACTATCTCCTTGGCGCCTGCCCTTGCTGCCGCCCGCACACACTGCATCGCGTACTCGCTGCATGGGGGCGCGGGGGCAGGAGGGCGGGAGGGCGAGAGGGCGAGAGAGCGGGAGGGTGGGAGGGCAGGAGGGCGGGAGGGCACAGAGGGGATGGCGCGGGTGGGGGAGAAGGCAAGGAAGGATTGGCCTGAATGCTTTTTGAGACGTAGGAAGGGCGGCAAGGAAGGATTGGCCTGAATGCGAAAGAGGATGGCGGAAGGGAGGGAGAGAAGAATGCAGTGAGGCAGACAACAGCGGGGGGAGGAAGGGGAGGGGCGGCAAAGGGGGGTTGTGGAGGGGTGGCGGTGTGGGAAGGAAAGGGTGTGGGAAGAGAGGGAGGGTGGGAGAAGGAAGCTAGGGGAGGCAACTATGGGGTGGCTCACTTACGGGTTGGCAGAAAAGCCATCGTAGAAATGCTCGGCGTCCAGCATGACGTGGCGGCCCATGGCAGTGAAGTAGCGCACTGTGTCCTCTATCATCGCCAGGTTCTCCTCCAGGGTCGCCTCGAGAACTTTCAGCACCTGCGCATCCCACGCCTGGTGACAGTAGGGGATGATGGGAGGGTGATAGAGGGGACAGAATGTCCAGCATGACGTGGCGGCCCATGCCAGTGAAATACCGCACCGTGTCCTCCATCATCGCCAAGTTCTCCTCCAGGGTCGCTTCCAGCACCTTCAGCACCTGCGCGTCCCACGCCTGATGGTAAGAGAGGCGATCATCGCCAGGTTCTCCCCCGGCATCGCCTCCAGCACTTTCAGCACCCTGCGCGTCCCGCGCCTGGTGGCAGGACCACGAGACAGGAGAAAGGGGGGCAGCGAAAGGGCAGCGGAGAAGGAGATGAGAGCAGAGCAGGCTAGTAACGCACCGTGTATTCTATCCTCGTCGGATTCTCCCATCCACCGTACCTTGGCCCTTGGTCCCTCGTCATAGTAACACCGACCCCCATACCTTGGCCACGAGCGTGATCACGGGCGCCCCACACTCCACCAGCACCTGCACATTCGCATCGCCACACCACCGTGCGTTGGCCCCTCGTTATAATCACATTACAATACCTTGGCCACGAGGGTGATAACGGGCGCTCCACTCTCCACCAGCGCCTGCACATTCCCGTCCTTCTCACACGTCGTGTTCTTATAACGAGTTGCTCCAAACGCGGCCAGCTTCGCCCGCCTCCTCTCCCCCTCATTACTGTCACTTCCCGCTGCTGTCAACCTGTCTATCCCCTCCCTTGCTGCCTCCCGGGCTTTCCACCGCTGGAAGAACTCAGCGTCCTTGGGATTGGAGCCTGGCCAGCCTGCTTCGATATAGTCAACCCCGAGATCCTCTAAGAGCTCCGCTATACGCAACTTGTCCGCCACTGAGAGCGTGATTCCCACCATCTGATTGGCCGGGAGGGACGGGGCAAGCGGAGCGTGAGAGCAGAGAGAGACAGTGCTAGGGAAGTGGTACGGGAGAAAGACGAATTGTGGACGGGGATGGAGATGGGGGTGGGAATGCATGGCAGTTTAGGGGAAGAGAAGTAGAAGAAATAAGAAGTTGCAGAAATAAGAAGCAAAGAGCAGAAACTGAAGGAGCTGCTGCCACCCATTCCTTCCCCATGGCCACCCATCCCCACCCATCCCCACCCGTCCTCACACCCGACCCCCGCCTGCGATTCGTTCCCCCACCCGCGATTCGCTCCCACACCTGCGACTCGCACCCCACCTGGGATTTCTCCCCCACCTGCGACTCGGCCCCCACCTGCGACTCGGCCCCCACCTGCGACCCGTCCCTGAGCGTGGTGTCGTATATCGCCACCGCGCGTCCCGCTGCCACTGTATCGGAGCCAGCTGGCGTGGTCCCATTGGCTGTTGCGGGTGCTGCGCCGTTAAATACGGGTGCTGCGCGTTGCGGTTCCGCGGAGAGAGAGGCGGACGCGGAGAACGCAGAAGCGGGCTGGGGAAGGAGCGCGTGGGGGGGTTGGGGGGGGAGGGAGGGTGGGGATTGGGGCGAAGGGGAATATGGGGGAACGGGGCCGCGGAGGATGGGGAGGGGGGCAAATAATGGAAGTGGGGAGATGCGGAAAAAGGGGCCCGGAAAAGATGGGTGAGCGTAACGGGGAAAGCGGAATGGGGTGGAACGAGCGCGACTGGAAGTGTAAACGGGGCATGGGTAAGGGGAAGGAGGAAAGCGCGACCGGAAAGTAGTGAGAGAGGGGGAGAAACGAAAAGAAAACAAGCCCTTTCCCTTGTATGTAGGGGAATGCAAGTGCTTCAATAATCTTGACCGCATTAGATGCCGCTCGGCTGTTAAAAAAACTGGTGTAAGAATGTGTGTGACTAAAGCGGGCGTGACTCACGCTTTTGGCCACCACAGCCTGCGTCACGGTCCCCGCGCCCGCCGCCGCCGCCTTCGCCCGCCACGTCGGCTGCTCCGCCGACGCGGTTACCCTTACGACCTTCCCGCAATGCCCTGCGAACAGCGAATGCCTGGGCGGAAAACCCGCTCTGTTGAGGCGCACCGGGTGGCCGCGGAAGAACGCTGCGCCAACGGCGGCCTCCATGAGAAAATAGCGGGAAGGTAGCGCGCGAACGAGCGGAAAGCGAACTGGATGTGGCTGATAGAGGGGACGAGGTTAGAGTATTTGCGGCCGAGGGCTAGAGATATAGACGACGAGGTTCGTGAGGTATCGACGACGAGATATCGACGGTTTTTGCAATATCGCCGCTAAAAAGGGAAAGGTTTGAAGACGGCGGGTGAGTGAAATATCTGGAGGTGCGGATTTCCGGAATGCGCGACGGCTCTGTAACTGGGTCGCCTTGGATGGTGGAGAGTTCGCGATATCGTGTGAACCGAAAACGGGTCTTACGAAAAACGTATGCCTTGCGAAGAGTGCAGCGACTAGGGATGTTCTGCTACGTGGCACGTCAGATCTGCTACGTGGCAAGGGAGATTCTGTACCCGCATTACTCATCTCGAAACACCAATGCAATGCACCTGAGTCACTGGACAATGCTTCCCAAAAAAATATGTAGTAGCATTCTTCAGTATGTATGCAAAACTAGAATCAAGCGCTCCGTTATGCTATAGCGGGGCGACATGTGGCCCACACAGCCACCAAAAGCCATCTGGAAGGGAGAGCAGAATTCAATTATGTCGGCACCTGAAGCAAATGATTGTCATTGCACCATTTTGATACACCCTCTTTCGCGCTAGTAGAGCACCTGGTTGGAAAACGTACATGGATTGTAGAACGTCGCCACGTTCAGAATGGTCTTGTCACCTACTGTACAAGCACAATGCGAAGAATGCGGTTAGGTAAGGTTATGCACTTTACAAAAAGCGTTGTCAACGTTTTCATCTGTTTGGGAAAGTTATGAAGCGATTACGGAGATTTTACGTCCTTGAGCCAGTTTGTCACGTGGTCCGGCTTTCCCCCCAGGTTGCCTAGGAACGTTTATTGGCACAGATCGCATGAGACAAGTACTGTAGCGACGAGTCGCGCAAGGTGAAAAGGTTGAGAAAGAGGGTGTATTGTTGAGCCACAACAACGATTGCCAGTCAGAACAGTGAGAATTCAGACTTACCCGGTCAGCGAAACACAATTTTTACTCACCGACCACAGTTGATAACCTGATAATCAGATGAGGATTTTGGACCATGTGGTGGGTAAATGTATCGGCGGCGCTCTCGTCCAAACCAGGCCCGTGTTTTGTTGCGGCTCCCTCAGCCCCGAAGAGTTACTCCCCGCTGAGCCCAAGGCTTCCCGGGTTTTCTGGAAACATTTCGTCTGATCATGTCGTGGCTTCTGCTTTCGCGAAATGGTGTCACTATGCGATGCTGCAGGTGCAGGTGCTGCAGACAGGGAGAACGGCGGCTCGGGAAGGGAAGTAGAGTTCGCCAACGACTAGCGAATGAACCAGATTGCTTGGGTATGGTTTGACCACCATCCGAACCAGAAAGATTCCCCCAACCACCAGCCATTTCCCCCCATCCCCATCTCTTCCTCTCACTCCACCTCAACCAGCCAGATGTACTTCGATTCGTTGTGTGGTTCAGTTCAATGTACACCCTCTTTCTCAACCTTTGGAATCGTGTTTTAACGACGAAAACCGGAATGAACCGACCGCCGCCGCGCATCGCTCTCACATGCCTCACCAGTTCTGGTTCAATTGTTCCAGTTTCCGCAATCGCCCTGACTTCTGAAGCGAATGTCTCATGCTCTCCAAGCCTGCTCCCGTGAATAAAGGCGACTCTGGTTCGGATCAGGTTTGGGATAAGCAAGGGTTTCTGCGAGGGAGAGTATGTAATTCGTGACCAAAATGGGACTAGATAACATTTTCGGTAAAACAATAAGGGGTACGGTCACTTCAAAGGGTGTTTTCACGCGACTGATAAAACTTTTCACGTAATCAGTCACTATCAACTCGTAAAAAAAACGTGAATGGTCATAGATGAAACTCCCGCCAAAACAATATGTAACCCAAAAGGAACCTGGATGCATTTCGGATGAATCAACCCTAAACACGTAACTCGCCAGGTGTTTAGGGTTGATCCGTTCCCGAACCGCATCCGATTCCGATTCGGTCTCAGATTTTTAGAAGTTAGCAGATTGGTTGAGTGCGAGCGGGAATTTTGTTGAGTTTCAAGTTTTTTTGGCGGGAGCTACATGTGTGACCATTCGTGTGACTGAATCCGTGACCCCACTTACCAAACCTGTCAGAAAACCCGATACATTGACCGTACAATGTTTTTGTTTATGGTTCACGTTATCTAGTCCCAAGTTGGTTACTTATGGCATATTTTCCCTTTTTGCGACGCACCAACCGCCACTCCTTCCAGCTAATTGCCTCAAGTCGTGTGGGAGCACGCAAGTAGCAGGCAACAATACAGAGCGGCCAATCAGAGCGGCCACGAAGTTCTGAGATTGGAGAGATTCCCCCCACATGGAATCTCACGTGATAAGCAGTCAGCTCGTTTCCAGCGAGCTGAGTGCTTATCACCATCTTCTCTCCTCGAAACCCCATGATATCTTTGTTGCTCCGACTCCCAGGGGGAAGGCAGGCCGTGACTCCGCAGCGCGGCCGCTGCAGACGCAGCATCATCATCACTCGCTTCTTCCGGAGAGTTTTTTTCAGCCGAGGTCTCCTCACGCGGTCTATGGTAGTTGTAGCGTGTTCGTCGCTGTGAGTTAATCGCCGCACTGCACGGAGAATCGCCCATCATGGTCGCTAGTGGGACAAATCAGGCCGAGAAGTCCTCCTCCTCTGATGACTCGCAGTCTTCGCTCGAGTGCTGCGACGGAGGGGTCACCATTACCGTTAATCGCGCACTCTGTACCAAACCGCATGCGTCTGTATTCCCGCCGACTGATGCGGCGACGACTGAGCCGCCGCGTGCCGCGACTGTGACAGTGATCGAGCCGCAAGTGCTTCTCCTGTCGCTCTCCGTCCTGCAGTCGCGGGTGTCGCATCTGCAGGCCCTGTTGGGGATGCTAGCTCAGGTAGTATTCACGCATTTAGGTCGCTTGTTTAGGTATCTCTTCGCTCGCTCAGTATTTGCTCGTCAGTCATTGGCTCAGAGGATATTAGTGTTCGCAGGTAAATCCTGACCGTTACTATCTGCTGTTGGCGGAGGACGGCGGTTAGAGACCATGAATATTGAGTGTACATCTCTTGCGCCCCCGCGTCGCACAATAACGATCCCCATCCCCGCGAACCCCTCTCCCTCCCCTCTCAGCCGTCGTCAGCGCTGAAGGTTCAGGAGGCGCCTTACGAGCAGGCGGCTGTAGCAGTGGGGACAATGATCCGACAGCTGGCTGTAGCGGCCGTCTCACTGCTGCCGCCCAACCAGCAGGCGGCCGTACTGCAGGCTGAGCCTCTGCTACAGCCGGCGCCCGGGGCTCTTGAGTCATCCAATCCGCAAGCTTCTACGGCTAACGGAATTCCGTCACACGCGAATGAGGAGATCCCTAATCCGCCTCCCGCAGTTCTTTCTCCGACCGCCGCCCACCCTTCTGCTGCTCCAGAGGCAGCAACGTGGATTTCTCCGGAACTGAGAACCAGCTCGACAGTTGCCGAGCCTGGGGAGCCTCGGCGAGAGCCTGCAGGAGAGGCACGGGCGGAGGCGGCGCTGGATGCAACACCGATGCGCGACCCGACACTTGATGCGCAGAGTTTGATCGCGGTCGGAAGGAAAAGAGGTCGCAACGACGAGTGCGAAACGGAACCTGTTACAAAGGCCGTCTGCTATGCCGAACCCCGCCAAAGAAGCAATCTGTGCGGTGCGCTGCGGTCCCCAGGCCTTGGAGTTGCCGTTGCTGCAGAGCCTGATCCTCATAGCGGCATGGAAATTGCGGGAGACATGGAAACTGGGGGCTACGAGGAGAAATTGGCGCAGGAGGTGACTGGTCCGACTGGAGCAAGTTCATGCGGACTTCCTACTGCTGGTGCAGTGTCGGAGATTTTCAGCTGCCCGGTTGCAGGCTGCCCGTTCCACAAGCAGCACCCGGGGTTTCGTGCGTTCAAGTCGAAGGCGTCGCTGCGGAACCACTACCGGCGGACGCACGCTGGCGAGGCGCTGCTGTGCTCGCGGTGCGGCAGCAAGTCATTCTGCTTGCCGGCCGACCTGGAGGCACATGAGAGGCGCTGCGGGCCACGACGATGGCTGTGCTCGTGCGGCAACTCTTTCAGGTGTGGCGCTGGTCCCTCTTCTGTACATGGCATATCATGTCATGCCATGTCACAACATGTCACGTCACGTCACGTCACGTCACGTCACGTCACGTCACGTCACATCACGTCACGTCACGTCACGTCACGTCACGTCATGTCGTATCATCATACCACTGTGAGATTTATTATTCTTTTGTGAGTTGGGCACGTTTCTCATGTTTCCAGTGCCTCTGCTTCTCGTTTTACCCTGCGTCCCGCACATCCCATCCCCGCTGTTCTGCCATGCCAGCCGAAAGGACAAGCTAGCCAACCATTTGAAGGTCTTTCCAAGCCACCATGAGCTTGCCACCCAGAGCACGCTGCTCCAAGATCCATCTACTGTGCACCATGTCGGCACAGCGCTCGGTGAAGAATCTGGTCCGTTCAACGCAACCTTTATTGCAGGGGATTCACCTGTCATTGGCCCAGGCTCCACCGATCATTTAACCTATGCTGATCCCGGTAACGGTGCCGATGTGAACACACAAGATCGTTGCGATGCCACAATGGGTGTGCATGGACCTTGCACTGGACTGCTCTGCAGGGATGCTGTGAGTGCCGTTGAGGCACTGGCAGAGTCTTTCGTGAAGACAAGCAAGGAACATGTGATGATTGGGACCCGAGGAGACAATAGTTTCATGCATTTATTAGTGGAAAATGAGGGATTGCAGGCTGTGGAGAGTACGTTTCCAGTCACCGAGCTGTTTCCTGAGCTGTCATGTTGAAGATCATTCTAGCATAATATTTTTTTTTCTGTATTGGTAGTATTTAATTCCCAACTACACCCCGCCGTTCAACCCCTTATCACAACTATCCGGTTCAATACTGGTCAAACAAACCATTAACCCGAAGCAACCAGGAGGTACTCGCCTCTGTTCACTCGCCTCGGTATCCGCCGACACTTTCACAACCAGCAATTTTGAGGGATTACACCTAGTCCGCAGTATTTTAACCACGTGAACTGTTTTGTTTCAAACACCCTTTATTCGTTTTTGGGTAATGAGTTGGGCACCCAGAGACTTCGAGGCTATTAGTTTACAGCCAGATCCATTTCCTTCTGAAGAAACGCATACTTAATGCTCCGAGATAGGGGGCAGATCGGCATTGGAAGAGTTTTAACTTCCGTCGTCTCTCGAAGGGAATGCTATATTATACCCTCATTAATTTTCGAACTACTCGTTTAAACAAGTTTGACCAAAGAGAAGTACCCTCGCGCGTTGAAGATAGCGGCGGTTAAAATACCGCGGACTAGGTGTACTCACAGAACTCTCTCTTGGCGCTCCGTGCCAAAAGCGCAACTGTTGAAGTTGGAACCCGTTTGCGAAACTCGACAATGTGTTTTGCACTCAATCACGTGGCCAATCAAAGGCCCCAACCTTCTCACGACAGGATGTAATGCAGTTACTTATTTTGTTACCAATGTCCGAGCCACTCATTGCCCAGCCTCCCAACAACTCCGTCCCTTTGCCTTGGTGGGGCCTCCCCCGCCGACAAAAAAGCCAGGCTGGCTCTCAAATGGTCGGCGCTCTGGGATTGGTCTCGTCCGACTCCAGACAAAAATGAGCGTCAGAAATGTGTCGTATACAACTTAGGATTCTGTTTCACATTGGCATTTAGCGCGGATCGAGTCCAGCGTGTTTGAACAAGACATTATTTTCCGTCAGCTGAACACTTCTCCTAGTGCAACCCTAAATCTCAGGCTCCCCTAATCACAGCAGAACAGCAATTTTGCCTAATCACCTCCAACAGCAACACAGCTGCATCCATTCCTCACCACAGGCCGCCCCAACCCAACCAGGGCCGTACTGCGCTCTCCAACCGAGGCTACACTACACCTTGCATGGAATGGCGCTCCGTTCCGTTCCGTCCCATTCGGTTCTGTTCTGTTCTGTTCTTTTCCGCTGCCCAGTTCTGATCCGGCTGGTCTCACCCTCCCCGAATTGGGCAGTGATCCACGCAGAGAACGTACGGCCGTGAAATGCGGCATTTCAATGCTCCAACCATCCCCAACGCCTAATCAAGTTGAACATGCAATTGTGGCTGTGCTGGAACGCTGCGTTCAACGGGTGGATCGGATCCAGTGAAGGTACATATCATCTTATGATCATCGGATGATAACTGGTACTAGACCTGAGGTCATTTGAGCCTGCTTTTGCCAGACAATTAGTAGGGAAAAAATGCACACGGCTACTACTACACTAGCAGTCCTGTGCACTCTCCATCACGTGTCGCCGCAAGTGGCAGTAGTAGTGCTGTGCCTAGACACAACTCTTGCCGGAGGAGGGAAAGCAACAGAGTACAATTGGTAGTTCTTTGCAAAAGCCTGACTTCTATAGAAGTCAATGTGTCTCCTGACTTCTACTACCAGCAGCACTGGCCCACCACCGTTGGGGACTCGAAGCAGGCGGTCGGCGGCGGCGGCAATGCCGCTTCATCTAAAGAACGAAAGCCCGCCATTTGCAAGGACCGTGGTTGGTGGCGAGAGAAAAGAAGAGCGGCGGTTCTCAGAGAATCATTCTGAACGGGGCGGACCAGGGAAACATGATCTTGATGTTGATACAGATGTTGAGTCAGGAGCCTGCAGGGCTACCGCCGCCACCATTGCGGCGCGTGGCACTGCTATTACAATCAGCCAGGGCATGGGTGCTTCTGTTTTTAACAGTGCTGCAGGGCAGAGAAGGCACCTGTGGGGCGGAGGGAGGGATGGATTTCAGGAGAGAATAGGAGAGGTATTGGGATGTGGTAGCAGCCAGCAACGTCCCCAGCAAGGGCTCCCTCCACCAGGGATGACAATGATTCAGCCACACCCCCATTCCCAGGAGACCTATCCCAGTGACCATCCTGACCGTTCATCTCAACAGCGGCCGGCCTTCCGGGCCTCACTGGTGGACAGCAGGCTGCCGCCAGGAGCCATCATGCCCCAGCACCCACCGCTCCATCCTCAGGGGCCCTGTCCCAGTGAACCTACTAGGGAGCGTTCATTTCAACGGCAGGCCTTCCGGCCCTCACTGGTTGATGGCAGGTTCGGAGCCGTTATGCCACAGCACCTACCGCCGCATTCCCAGGGGTCCTGTCCCAGTGACCCTCCGGACCGTTTATCTCAACAACAGGTCTCCCAATCGTTACTGACAGATGGCAGGCTGGCGCTGTGTGGAGCCTTGGCACAGCTGCAGCTCCAACCGTCTCCACCACTGGCAGTGGAACGACCCCGGCCAGGTGCCGCCGCTACTACTAGTCGTCTGGGTCATCCAGTGCCGGTGGATCGACTGGGTAATGATGACGATGCCGCCGGTCGACTGGGTGCCAATCGCCAAGTGAACACCGGTTGTGTAGGTACTACTACTGGAGGATCAGCGTTACCTCCTGACACGGTCCCGTCATCCGACGTCGTCAGGCTCATCGAAATTCTGCTCCGAACCGCCCGAGCTGGTTCAGGTTCCGAACCACCCTCTCCCGAGGCTGCACAAGCTGCAGCGGCAACTCCTGTAGTCCGCGCTACAGACACTGCAGGATCCGGCGCCGAGCAGGCGGATGTAGCAGCTGCATTTACCGCCGCCTGCCGCATTGCTGCTACAACAGCATCCCGTGCTAAAGTGACGCTGGGAGGGCAGCGAGGGCGGGATTGGCTGCATCCCCTTCCAATGTCCCAATCTGCCACGAGACGAAAAAGAAAGGAAAACACTGGTTCTGCTGCTGCTACCTCTGCTGCTGCTGCGACAGCTGCAGCTGCTACTGCCACCGCTACAACTTCTACTCCTGCTACTGCTACCGACAGCAGCAGACCAGGCAACGTGCCAGGAACCAGCTCCCCCACATGCACGCGTGCAGCCCTCCCCAGCCAGCATGCAACTCTCCTCTCCTCGCTTACCACCCTCCAAGCTAACGTATCCGCGTTACAAGCACTCGTTCGGATCCTATCGCAGGTAGGTTGCTTGGATATTCCCTTGCCTTGCCAGGCCTTGCCCCAAATCCCCTGAGCATCCGATCCTCTCTATATTTTCTATTGCATCACAGGATACAGCACACTTACATACAGCACACTGTTGCTCACCACTGCTGCTACGGCTCTAGCATTTGGCAGGTATAGGCACATAGCTTCAGTCACCCTGCTTGGATAACTTGCCTTGCCGATGCAAGGCAAGGTAGTCTTTGTTTCCCATTCCCTCTTTCCAATGCGGAGGCTTCATTCGCCCTCTTTTAAACACCTGGAGGGTGCTGCCACCCCTGGTATATGGCGCCTCAAATACTGCTGCCGGTTTCACCATCCCGTATGTGAGCATTGTGTTTCTTGCCACCATTGTTTTACCGCCCTAATTCAGCAACAGAAGGAACAGCACGAAGAGGAGGAGGAGGGGGAGGAGGAGGAGGAGGAGGAGGAGGAGGAGGAGGAGGAGGAGGAGGAGGAGGAGGAGGAGGAGGAGGAGGAGGAGAGGAGGAGGAGGAGGAGGAGGAGGAGGAGGAGGAGGAGGAGGAGGAGGAGGAGGAGGAGGAGGAGGAGGAGGAGGAGGAGGAGGAGGAGGAGGAGAAGGAGGAGGAGGAGGAGAAGGAGGAGAAGGAGGAAAATCAGCAGCTGCAGGAGCAGGAGCTGCAGCATGTAACTGATTCAGGAACATGTAACCAGCAGGGACAGGATCAGGAACAGGGACAGGAGGAGGAGCAGGAGGAGGAGGACCAAAAGGAGCAGGAGCAGGAGAAGCAGACTCAGGCTAAGCAGGCTCAGGAGAAGCAGCGGAAGCAGCAGCGGGACGCGGTGGCAGTGGGAATAGTTGGCATGATCAAGAACCTCGCAGTTGCTGCTGCTAGCCTGCTGCCTCCCCACCAGCAGCACACCGCACTCCTACCCCTGCTCCCTCTGCTGCCGAACCTGCAAGTTGCGCCAGCTCTGCCGAGGCAGGATCTGCCGACCCAGAATTTGCAGGATGTGTCGAACCAACGGGGGAAGAAAGGTTTGGGTACGATGGCTCGGGGACAGGAGGAAGGTAAGGATGAGGAGCAGAGAGGCGAGGGGAATGAGGGAGATAGACGCAGCAGGGATGAAGAGAAAGATGAAGAAGAGGAAGAGGAGGGAGGGAATGATGATGATGGTGATGATGAGGATACGGAGGAGAACGGGGAAGAGAAAGAGAAAGAAGAGGAGGAAGAGGAAGAGGAAGGGGATGCAGTGGAGGAGCATGATAAGCCGCAAGAGAGGGGAAGAACGGAAGTGGGTTCAGGAAGAGGCAAGGAGGGGCAACCGCGGCCGCAGGTCCCAGATACAGGTGATTCGAGAGTCTGGGAACGGCTCAAGGCTTCCCAAACAAGGCCGCACGATAACGAGTCTGCTGGTATGGGTAGCTTCTTGGCCGGGGATACCCGGTTGAAGCGCAAGCAGCGCGATGGGAAGGTGAGCCCTCGCAAGCGAAAGAAGCTGAAGCAGCTGCTGCTGCAGATGCAGGCAGTTCTGCAAGAGAGGGTAGCGCATGGGGGAGGACAGGGGACAGGAGGAGCGGCAGCAGCAGCAGCAGAAGCGCCATCACCACCAGCAGCAGTAACAACAGGAACATCATCACCAATAGCACAAACAGCAGCACCAGAACCACCAGCAGCAGTAGCTGCAGAAGCACCACCACCACCAGCAGTAACAGCAGCAGCACTACCACCAGAAGCTGTAACAAAAGCAGCACCACCACCAGCAACAGCAGTAGCAGCAGCACCACCACCAGCAGTGACAGCAGCAGCAACAGCACCAGCGGCAGATACAAAAGCAGTCAAGGCAGCACAAGGACCAAAGAAAGAAACTATTGACTCTGATCCAAACCCGTCTGCATTTGACTGGGTTCCAAGGGGAGCAGACAAAGCAGAGGGACACCAGGAGGAGGCTGCGAGTGGAGATGCCAGGGCGGGAGTAAAGCAGGAAGCTTCAGATGGCTCTGGGCCCTCGACTGGCTTCGCTGCCCGTCCCGACACTCTCTGTGCTTCAAGATGTCAGCCTTACTACTGCTGTTGTCGTCGCTCTGTCGCTCGTGGTTCTGCTCCTCCTGCCTTTCCTCCTCCCACCTCTGGTCCTCCTATGTCCGCTCGTCCCAGAGGTGGATAAATCAGCTCACTCTCCCTTGTTCCCTCCCTCCTTCTCTTCCTCCATCCCCCCACCGCCCCCAGCTCCTCCCCCACAGCCTTCACCTGCCATGTGCCTGGCTGCCAGCACAACGAGCAGCACCCACGCTTCTGCCCTTGTCTCATCCTCTTCCCTTTTCCATCTCTCTTCTTCTCTCTGTTCCCACCCCCTCAGCTCCTCCCCCATAGCCTTCACGTGCCCTGAGCCAGGCTGCCAGCACAACGAGCACCACGCTCGCTTCCGCCCACTCAAGTCCCTCTCCTCGCTGCACACCCACCACCTCCGCGTCCATGGTGACAAGCCTTTCACATGTTCCCGATGCCAGGTGAACCACCTCTTGTTTAATTTACTCCACTGTCATTTCCTCTCCTCTCCTCTCCTCTCCTCTCCTCTCCTCTCCCTCGTTCCCTCAACTTCCTTGCCTCGCTGCACACCCACCACCTCCGCGTGCATGGCGCCGAGCCCTTCACATGCTCCCGCTGCCAGGTGAACCTCTTGTTTCTCTTCTCTCCCCTGTCCTCTCTCCCATCACCAGTTCTGTCCAATCTTTCCAGACCTCTCTCCATACCAGATGAACCACCTCTTTCACTTCTCTCTCCCCTCCTCTCCTCTTTCCTCCTCTCTCCCCTCCTCTCCCTTCCTCTCCTCTCCTCTCCCCTCCTTTCCTCTCATCTCATCTCCTCTCCTCTCCCCTCCGCTCCCATCCTCTCCTCTCCTCTCCTCTCCTCTCCTCTCCTCTCCTCTCCTCTCTTCTCCGCTCCTCTCCTCTCTTCTCCTCCCGTCTCTCCCCTCGTCAGTTCTCCTATCACCTCCTCTCCTCCTTCCCCCTCTCAGGTAAATTCCTGCGCCCTCCAATCCGACCTGCAAGCCCACGAGAAACAGTGCGGTGTGAAGAGGAGGCACTGCTCGTGCTGCTGCAACACACTCACTCTCCCTTCCCCCCCCCCCCCCCTTTTCCCCCTCTCCCTTCCCCCCAGATCAAGTCCTTCGGCCTCCAATCTGACCTGCGGGCCCACGAGAAACAGTGCGGTGTAAAGCGGTGGCACTGCTCCTGCGGGAACTCTTTCAGCAGGAAGGACAAGCTAGCCAACCACCTGAACACGTTCACGGACCACTCGCCTCTCTTCAACCTCCATCCAGTCGACATCCCCATTCACCCCAGGCAGAAGCTGTACAAAAGGAAACAGCTAGAGACACAGCCAAAGCAGCCAGAGGCGCAGATGAAGCAGCCTGAAGCCCAGAAGAAGAAGCTAGAGACCTCTCAGAAGAACGCCAGCCACATCAGCCACGTGACATCCACGGACCAGTCTCCTGCCAGTCACCTTGGGGCCTCTGCTAGCTGTGCTTCCGAGGGGAACCATCTTTGGGGGCGAAACACCGCGGAGGGGAGTAACGCGATGGAAAGGAATGGTTCACAAGGGAAGGAGACCAGGAGAGGGTACGTGTCGCTGCTGTTGCAGGAGGCCGTTGGGTTAGATCAAATGGGCCCCTTGCACGCAGAGGGTTTCGAGTGAGGTCAACAGGATCAACAGGGTCAGCAGAGTCAACAGAGTCAACAGAGTCAACAGAGTCAACAGGGTCAACATGGTCAACAGGGTCAACACACTCAGCCGTCTCTGCTGGCTGAGGAGTCTCAGCCGTACGTGTCCCTGCTGCTGCAGGGGGCTGTTGGGTCGGACCAAGGGAGCCCCTTGCATGCAGGGGGATTTAAGCACGGTCGGCCGTCTCACCACATGCAGCATCAGCAGACCGAGCAACCCCAGCAGTCACAGCAGCATCAGCAGAACCAGCAGGGCCATCAAGCCCCATTGATTCACGAGACTCATGCATCCCCAGCTCCCGCCACGCTGCCTATGAACACGCCTGTGCCACCCCTGCAGGCACCCAAGCCTGTGGAACAAAGAGCCCCAACCTTGGCCCAGCAGCACCCCTCCCTACCGTTGCCGCACGAACACCCCTCCCTCCCGTTGCCACAGCAATACAGCTCCCTACCCCCACAGCCAGCACACATGCCTTTGTCTCTGCGAGTGCAGTTACCCACACAGCCTGTCCAAGCCGTAGCCCCACCGCAGCCCGCACAGTCAATACAGTCAACACAGTCAACGCAATCAGTGCAGTCAATGCAGTCAGCGTGGCCTATGCAACCCTCTCCACCTGTGCAGCACCTGTCATTAGAACGGCCAGTACAGTCAATGCAGTCAACGCAGCCAGTACAGTCAATGCAGTCAACGCAGCCAGTACAGTCAATGCAGTCAACGCAGCCAGTACAGTCAATGCATTCAACGCAGCCAGTACAGTCAATGCATTCAACGCAGTCAACACAGTCAGCTCCATTAGCCCCTCCAGTGACCCATCTAGTCTCTCAAACGACCCAGTCAGTTTCCCCATCAATTCACCCTCCCACCGAGCCTTCCCAACCTCAGGCACAGCCTCGGCCCAGGGCTGATCTGCCAAACCTGAAAGCACAGGCTCATCTGTCAAGTGGTGGTGATGCTGACCTGTCAGCATCAAATCGTGGTGCTGACGTGTCAACATCGAATCGCGATGCTGACCTGTCGACACTGGAGGCGTCGTGTCGGGCGATTATTGATTCGGGGAAGAATGAGGCCCTCGAGGCTTCGTGTCAGCTCATCCTCTTGGAACTACGGCAGCAGCAGCAGCAGCAACAGTCTCAACAGCACTTACAGCAGCATCAACAGCAGCAGCAGCAGCATCAACAACAACAAGGACGACAGTACCAGCAGGATCAGCAACTTCAGCAGCAACCTCTGCAGCAGCAGCAGCAGCAGCAGCAGCAGCAGCAGCAGCAGCAGCAGCAGCAGCAGCAGCAGCAGCAGCAGCAGCAGCAGCAGCAGCAGCAGCAGCAGCAGCAGCAGCATATAGAGGTGAAAGAATGGCCGCAGAGGCAGAACGTACGACAGGGTCAAGCACCGTACCAGCAATGGAAGCAGCAGCAACAGGTGCAGCAGCAGCAACAGCAGCAGCAATTAACGGAGCAGCAACAGCATCAACAGCAACAGCAGCTGCAGCAGCAACAACAGGTGAAACGGCAGAAAAAACTGCACTATCAGCAGCAACCATCCAGCCAGGTGAACCCGCCACCCTTCCACCACCAGCAATCCACCTGGCCTAACCAAGAATCCACCTGGACTAACCAAGAATCCACCTGGACTAACCAAGAATCCACCTGGACTAACCAAGAATCCACCTGGACTAACCAAGAATCCACTTGGACTAACCAAGAATCCACCTGGCAGAGGCCCAACAGCCCTCTGCCAGCCTCGTACGCAGCACCCACTATTGACCCTCCATCCCAGCACCCTACCCTAACCCAAGTGATTTCTCTTCAGTCAACACCAGCAGCCACTGAGCCTCTTCAGGTAACCCAAGGGTCAACCTTAGGGTCAACTGCCCTTCCACCCCCCCACCCTAGCTGGAACACCAGAATGGCCCTTGAGTCAACCCAAGGGTCAACAGCCCTTCCACCCCAGCTTCAAAGCCCGAGCCATCAAGTGGCCTTTGAGTCAACCCTAGGGTCAAATGACCCTCCACCTCCCCACCACAGCCTGCCAACCCCACAGTATAGCCTTCCAACGCCCCACCACAGCCTTATTCACGGGGTTCCAGAGGATGGCACAGGGGCAATAGGGGGGATATCTCTTGAAGAGCTCTTTCCCGAGCTTCAAGACGGCTTCTGAGTCTCTGCGGCACTCAGGCGTTCAGGCCTATCTGCCTCATCCACGGGGTCCCTGAGAATCGCCAGTGGTAGGGATCTCTCTTGAGGAGCTGCTTCCCGAGCTTCAAGAGGACTTTTAATTCTCAGCCGTTCCAGGACCTGTCTGCTTACCCCTGAATAGGGGGCACATGTCCAGCAAACTTTGAGGCTTCGTCTAGAAGATCCAGAGCAACATGTAGGGAGGGACTAGTTAGAGAGTGGTTGCTAGCTGTAGGCCTGCATGTATGAAAGCGCTTCAATTAGCAAGGCCTCCTCTTATGTATTCTGTTCCTTTATTCATCGATTGTTTCTGCAGTATGCGGACTAGTGGTGAAGCATACATCGTCAAGCAATGTTGGAGCTGACTAGTAGACGTGGGCAAAGCAGCAGCAGGCGAGGACATGTCACGTAAGCAAGGACCAAAATCATAACACCGGGCGCTCCAGCATGTAGACTTGCAACAAATCGCTGAGCACTACACCATATGAACTTGCACGCACCAGATGCAAGTTGCAACAACCTCATAAGAGATATAAACACCAGATGCAATGCAACATGATGGGGCCATTCAAGCAGCATCCAACACGAGGAGAGGCTTGTCATGCTCGGAGCAGTTGGCATGGCCTTGATAGATCAAGAGAACGCCGGGGAGCTTGTTCCGCAGGAATCGCAGCGTCGAACATGTTACGATAAGGAAATTGTGATGAACATTCCTGAACGTAACAGGGAGAAGGCACAATCGGGTACGAAGATGAATGGCCATGACGACGCGAAGAGTTGCGTACAGTTGGAGCATCTTGACCATTAGCGACAGATGCATCAGGCAGATGCATCGGCAAGGAAATGGCGGGAACCGGTTTGAAACTAGTTCCTGCACTGTACGGTTGACATTCGCTGCAATAAGGCAATGTACCCTTAGAGTACGTGGCTAGTCTTGGTCGTTTCGTATTCCCTATATTTCTTATATAATCCTATGTATGCCCCTGTCATAATCAATTTAGTCATTTTACATCCACTCTGACTAGGAGTCAATCACTTCCGCTGCAATAACTCTCTGCGATCAATCCTCAGGCTGATCCTGGCAAGGTCCCTCGTGGGATCGTAACAAGTTTTTGCACCTGGCGCAACCCTGCGCCCTAACGGCACAGAAATATGAAGCACATTGCAGGAGCATACGGTACCTGCATCGTCTCCCCTGAAGCCGTACTGAATCACCAGCCATTTCCCCTGCTCGACCCGGGCACTAACCACTATCCGAAATTGCACAAGGTTTACAGCGACTTCCTCTTCGTGGTCACAGAAGGCTCAATGACGAAGGCTACATGCTTACTTCGTGGATGCAGGCACTCGCTATATCTGGATCGCCAACATTCAGTTCCGTAGTAGGGCGTACGAAGTGTTCCAGATCTGGCTCACTCATGACGAAAGTGCGCGCGCTGCTGATGCAATCCAAACTCCCCGCTACCTACTGGTCGTACGCGATGCACCACGCCGTGCGTCTGCACAACCTGCTTTCTACCACGGCAATCACCGGGAACTCGTCACCGCACGTGAAGTGGACGGGCAAGAAGGACAACTCCTCTATACTCTGCGTATGGGGATGTGTGGTTCAGTACAGGCCTCCCACCTCAACTGTCAGGAAATTTACGAGCCGCACAGGATGGGGCATTCACCTCGGCATCAGTTACAAATACAAGGCATGGTTCATCCTCGACCTCCTGAGCAACAAAAACATGCACGCGCGTGATGTGATTTTCTATGAGAGACTCACCCTCGCACAGTTCCACGCGGATCAGCAAGCAGGCGCAGACTTGGTGTATGCGCATGGCGGTCGAAGCTACGCCAACCCCGAGGACGAAGCTGCTACAGCAATAGTTGATCGGGACTGCTCTCACGAGTATCCTGACAACAATCCGCGTCACGAGGACGACGACGATGACAGCGACGACGAGTCGCCACCGAGCCCCTCACGGCACTATTGCAGGGATCGAGCGCAACCAGCCCCTCTTGTGCCAGAGAGTGATGAAGTCGATGTGCAAGAAGTGGTTCCTGAACACTACCACAACACCGCGGTCTCTGGGCTGTAGCTGTTGGGGTTCCACACCGCAACATCTTCGGCCCCGCGCGTCATCGAGCCGAAAAATAAAAGACATGCCTTGACGGAACCTTGCAGCAAGGAGTGGGGCGCAGCAATTGACGCAAAGATAAGGGCACTTGGATCGCGCGATACCTGGGTGCTCGTCGACTAAGCAACAATTAAGGGAAGACGAGTGTTGTCGGGCAAGTGGGTGTTCCGTGTAGAAACCACGTTGGACGACACCATTGAGCACTTCAAGGCCCGTTGGGTCGTGCGCGGTTACGATCAACGCCATGGCATCGACTTCGACCAGATGTTCGCTCCTGTAAGCTGCCACACCTCTGTGCAGATTCTGCTTGCCATTGCCGCAGTGAGGCACCTACCACTCCGACAAAATGATGTGAAGAACGCATTTTTGTATGCGTTGGTGGACGTAGTCATATTCGAATAGCAGCTGCACACTTACGGCGAAGGGGACCCACGGGTCTGCTAGCTCAAGAACTCGCTGTACGGGATCAAGTAGACACCAAGGTTGTGGCAGCAGCATCTGCGAAAAATCCTACTTGAAATCGGCTTCACTCAACTGTCGCACGATCCCAGGATGTACAGCCTACATTTCTGCGAGGATTACATCCTTCTCACGGTCTATGTGGATGATCTGCTTTACACGTGAACAAGCAACGCGCTGCTCATCCAATTCAAGAAGAACCTGGCCCAGCGCGTCGACATTACTACGAATCACGACATGACGCAGTTTCTGGGTCTTCACATTTCCTACGCCCTAGAAGCTATTCACCTCTTAGCTTCGAAGTATGCTGAAACACTTGGGAAGCGCTTCAGCATCTCACCCGCACCACTCTCAACTCCCTACAGCATGTCTGGACCGAACTACAAGCCGGACAACAAAGTTATGTCCCTCGCAAGTCTCCACACCTACCAGCAGCAACTGGGTTGTCTGCTCTTCGCCTTTGTCACCTGCAAGCCTGATCACTCCTACATCGCGAGCCAACTGGCTCTGTACTCACGCAAACCAGCGGCTGAGAATTTAATGGATCTTCAGCGCACTTTACAGTACTTAATCTCAACACCCAACATCGGACTCTCCTACTCCACGCTCACGACTCCGTCATTCAACATCGTCAGCTACGTGGATGCCAATCACGTCGCTGATCCTGATAATCGACGGTCGAGAATTGGCTTCCTGTTCCAACTCGAGCCAACAGGCCCCATCGCTTGGAATTCCCCGTAGCACGAACCGGTTGCCCTGTCATCGGCGGAAGTTGAATTTATCGCCGCAACAGCAGCAATTTGCGAAGGTCTCTATCTACAAGAGCTCTTGCAGGAGGCGAAAATTCCGACATCGCCAACCTTCCGCCTCCACTGTAACAACCAAAGCGTCATCAGGATCGCAAAAAGACATGGTTTCGTCAATCGCACCAAGCACATTGCGTTGCGATACTTTTTTCGTTCATGACGAAATTGACAAGGGGAAAGTCGATTTGATGTACGGCCATACCGGTGACATGGCAGCCGAATTTCTCACGAAGTGACAGCCTCATCAGAAGTACCAGCACTGCGCGAACCTGAGCGGAGTGGTCAAGCGAGTCAAGACCTGCTACGGCCAGGAATGAAGGGAGGTGTTACAATAAGGAAATTGTGATGAACATTCCTGTACGTAACTGGGAGAAGGCACAATCGAGTACGAAGACGAATGGCCATGATGACGCGAATAGTCGCGTACAGTTGGAGCATCTGGACCGTCAGCAACAGATGCATCAGGCGGCTGCATCAGCAAAGATGGCAAGAGCCAGTTTGAAACTGGTTCTCGCGCCGCACGGTTGAAATTCGTTGCAATAAGGGAATGTACCCCTTAGAGTACATGGCTAGTCTAGGTCGTTTCGTATTCCATGTATTTCATTTATATACCAATGTATGCCCCTGTTATAATCACTTCAGTCATTACATCCACTCTGACTATGAGTCAATAACTTCCGTTGCAATAACTCTCTGCGATGAATCCTGAGGCTGATACTGGCAAGGTCCCTTACGGGATCGTAACATGGTATGAGAGAAACAGCAGGTTGTCGGTGGGACCTGGTAGGAGGAGAGGCTTGTCGTGCTCTGAGTAGTTGGCATGGCCTTGTACTGTGGTTCGATAGATCAAGAGCTCGTCGGGGAGCTTGTTCCGCAGGAATCGCAGCGTCGAACAGATGGCTGAGTTGAAATGTCGGTCGGGATGGTGGGGAGCCTCGGCAAAGGGCCTGCCAGAGAGGCACATGCGGAGGCGGTGGATGCAATATCGATGCACGACCTGACACATGAAGCGCAAATCATGGTCGAGAGGAAAAGAGGTCGCGAGGACGTGTGTGAAGCGAAGCCTGCCGCAAAACCCGTTTGCCGTGCAGCACCCTGCCAAAGGAGCGACATGAGCGGTGGTTTGCGATCTCCTGGCCTTGGAGACGCCGTTGTTGCAGAAGAGTCTGATCTGCAGGGCGACATGGGAGAGGAAAAAATAGCTGACGTGGTGACCAAACTTAGGGGAGCAAGCTGGGGGTAGTTCCTATTGATGATGCTGCATCAGAGATATTCAGCTACCTGGCTTCCCGCCGCCCGTTCAACGAGTAGTACCAGGGTTCCGCGCGTTCAAGTCAAAGGCGCCACTGTGAAACCACTACCGGCGGACGCATGCGGGTGAGGCACTGCTATGCTTGCGGTGCGGCAGCAATTTGTTCTACCTGCCGGCCGACCTGGAAGCACATGAGAGGCGCTGTGGGCCGCGGTGATGGCAGTGCTCCTGTGGCAACTCATTCAGGTGTGGCGCTGCTGCATGTGCTGGACATAGTATACCATGTCATGCCACGTCACATCACGTCTCGTCGTGTCATATCATACCATATTGTTTCCAATCGTATCATATCATATGTTATCATATGATACCATTGTGCAAATTTATTATGCTTTTGTGAGTTTGACGAGCTTCTCATGTTTCCAATGCCTGTGTTTTGTCCCTGAACCATGTAAACCGCACATCTCATCCCCACTGTTCTGCCGTGTTATTCGAAAGGACAAGCTAGCCAACCACTTGAAGGTCTTTCCAAGTTACCACGAGCTTGCCACCCAGAACACACCACTCCCAGATCCATCCAGTGTGCAGCATACCAGCACACTCCCGGTTGAGGATTCTGGTATGTTCAATGCAACCCCCATTCCATGGGATAGACATGTTAGAATCCTAGCGTGACTTAGGAACCATGGCTAGGTTAGAGTGTCGAGAGGATTTTGGGTGTGTGAAAGTCGAGAAGGAGAATGAGTGGTTTCACTATAGAAAGTTGGGATACAAATAACAAAACCTAAATTGGGTTGTACTCACTTCAGAGTACCCCACTACAGGCTAGACAGCAAATACATTATGACACACCCCCATAGTCAAAGTGGGGTATAATCAGCAGAGCAAGAAGCCATAGAGAAGGTTCACAAGTACAAGCAAAGGTAGAGGCATTCACAAAGGGCAAGTGAGGAGGAGGCTGGTCTGTGAGAGGAGAGTAGATGGGAGGCGACGGCTGATGCTGCAGACACACGGGCAACAGGAGCGGCGCACACGGTGGCTACCGGAGCAAGAGCCCCTGACTACAGGAGTAACTGGCTCTGCGGCTAACTCTGAGCGGCAGGAGCAACGGACCCACGGGCGACAGGTGCAGCAGGCTCTCTGAGCTACCAGAAGCAGAGCCCCGGACTACAGGTGCTGCGGACGACAAGACGGCAGCCTCCGCTCAACCTCCCCCAACTGTCCCATCCCCCTTTCACACACCCCTTGCTGCACCCCTAGCTCCACTACCACATCACCCCCCTAGCACCACTCACTTGGCTCCCACACACCCACCCCCCTCAGCGGCAGCTGCAGCAGTGGGAGACGAAGGAGGAGGAGGAGGAGTGGACGGTACACACACCCGCCACCTCCATACCCACCACCCCGCAGTTGCACCCACACCCGCCACCCCCATACCCTCCCCCACTGCTGCACCTGCAGCAGGGGATGGAGGAGAAGGGGGGGGGCGGGGGTGGGGCTGGTGCTGCAGATCCCCTCCCCCCCACTGCTGCACCCGCAGCAGGGGGAGGTAGGAGAAGGGAGGGGGGGGGGGGGGGGGGGGGGGGGGGGGGTGGGGCGGGGGGGGGGGGGCTGGTGCTGCAGATCCCCTCCCCCCCACTGCCGCACCCGCAGCAGGGGGATGGAGGAGAAAGGGGGGGGCAGGGGGGGGGCGGTGCAGGAGCCACTCGGGCGACAGCAGGATGCGCCACACCCGCCACCCCCATACCCTCCCCCCCACTGCTGCACCCGCAGCAGAGAGATGGAGGAGAAGGGGGGGGGGGCGGAGGGGGCTGGTACTGCAGATCCCCTCCCCCCACTGCCGCACCCGCAGCAGGGGGATGGCAGATCCCTTCCCCCCCACTGCTGCACCCGCAGCAGGGGGAGGTAGGAGAAGGATGAGGGGGGGGGGGGGGTCGGTGCTGCAGATCCCCTCCCCCCCTCTGCTGCACCCGCAGCAGGGGGAGGTAGGAGAAGGGTGGGGGGGGCTGGTGCTGCAGATCCCCTCCTGCCTCCCCCTGAACCTCCAAGCTCCCCCCCCTCTCCCAACACAAGGTGCGGCAGGGAGAGAGAGGAGGAGGCGTGGCGGCAGCTGCTGCTGCTGAGGCACATCCGCCACCCCCTCACACCCTCTCCCCGCCGTCCCCATGGAGGGGGGGGAGGGGGGGGAGGGGGGCGGGGGCAGAGCTGCGCGTGCGACTGTAGGGCACGCGGGCTGGAAGAACCCTCTCTTGCCACCCCCTCACCCACCATATTGCAACAGGGCACCGGGGCCGCGGTTAGGGGCGGCAGGTCGCGAGGGGCCATGGCTAGGGGTGACGGGGCCATGGCTAGGGACGGGGCCGGGCGCTGGGCAGGTACGGGGCCGGGCGCTGGGCTAGGGACGGGGCCAGGCGCTGGGCAGGTACGGGGCCGGGCGCGGGCTAGGTACGGGGCCGGGCGCTGGGCTAGGTACGGGCCGGGCGCGGGCTAGGTACGGGGCCGGGCGCTGGGCGAGGGACGGGGCCGGGCGCTGGGAAGGTACGGGGCCGGGCGCGGGCTAGGTACGGGGCCGTGAGCTGGGCTAGGTACGGGCCGGGTGCGGGGTAGGTACAGGGCCGGGCGCTGGGCTAGGTACTGGGCTAGGCGTTGGGCGAGGGACGGGGCCGGGCGCGGGCTAGGTACGGGCCGATCGCGGGCTAGGTACGGGTCGGTCGCGGGCGAGGTACGGGGCCGGGCGCTGGCGAGGGACGGGGCCGGGCGCTGGGCTAGGTACAGGCTGGGCGCAGGCTAGGTACGGGCCGGGCGCGGGGCTAGGAACGGGCCGATCGCGGGATAGGTACGGGCCGGGCGCGGGCGCGAGACGGGGCCGGGCGCGGGCTAGGTACGGGCCGTGCGCGGGCTAGGTACGGGCCGGGCGCGGGGCTAGGAACGGGCCGATCGCGGGCTGGGTACGGGCCGGGCGCGGGCTAGGTACGGGGCCGGGCGCGGGCTAGGTACGGGCCGATCGCGGGCTAGGTACGGGCCGGGCGCGGGGCGACGGAGTCGACGGGCCAGCGGGGCCGAGGGGCACAGCTAGGGGCGACGGGGCGACGCCAAGGGGCGACGCCAAGGGGCCGAGCCTAGGGGCTAGGGGCGACGCCAAGGGGCGACGGCCCGGGGCCTAGGCTAGCAGGGCATTAGGTGGTGGGCCCATTGATGTGAGGTCCTAGGAACGACCTACTCTGATAGCATGTTAGAATCCTAGCGTGACTTAGGAACAATGGCTAGGTTAGAGTGTCGAGATAATTTTGGGTGTGTGAAAGTCGAGAAGGAGAATGAGTGGTTTCACTATAGAAAGTTGGGATACAAATAGCAAACCCTAAATTGGGTTGTACTCACTACAGAGTACCCCACTGCAGGCTAGACAGCAAATACATTCTGACAAGACATGTCATTGCGTCATGCCCAAGTGATCAGTTACCATATGGTGATCCCCATAACAGTGTCGGCGTTAACACATAGGATCGTTACGATGCCACAACGGGTGTGCATCAACGTTCCGTAATTGGGAGCTCCATGCATGAACATTGCACTGGCCTGCTCTACAGGGATGCTGTGAATGTTGTTGAGGCACTTGCATAGCCTTTCGCGTAGAAGAGCATGCGATGATTGAAACCAGAGAAGACATTAGTTTCATGCATTTAATAGTGGAAAAAGAAGGGGCTCAGGCATTCGAGAGCACGTTTCCAGTCACGGAGCTCTTTCTTGAGATGTCATGCTGATTACTTTTGGCTCATTGCATGCTTGTCGCTAAGGGCGGGTCCAAGAATGCACGTATTCGCAGAAAACCATACCTAACCACTTTAGTTTTTGATTATACCTCTCAGGATCAGATCCAAACCATTTTCAACCGTATTCGGATGTACTCTCCAGACACACACTGACTAGCATACCTTCATCCTTTTCTGTATTGATGATATAAATATCTATATACACCTCACCATCAGACCCTTTGTATCACATTTATCCCGTTGAATATTAGTCAAACCATGAACTGCTCGGGGGCATCCTTGGTGGCTCTTCTGTTCACCAGGCCCTAAACTGCAGACAAATTCACGAACAGCATCATTGGTACCGAAACGCGAACCTGCAACTCATGTGTCAAATGCGCCCTGGGAAAATACAGAGATTTTGTGGGTTTATCCACTGCTCCTTCGGGAAACCAACAGGTGCGCAAGACGGTGCCGTGGTTCAGCTACAAAATATGCTGTACAACACCTGTCATACACCATCCCCTAAACGACCCCGACTGTTTGTGGGAGCACAAAAAGTCAGCGATTTTGATGCATGCATCATACATGACTGTACAACACTCATTTCCCGCTCGGTGCCAAAAATGCAACGTTTGGCGAACATGGACACGGCCAATAAATGGCCACCACGTACAGCACAGTGTATTGCAGTTACATACAACCTCCCAACAACTCCGTCTGTGTGGGCCTCCCCCGCCGACCAGAAGAGCCCAGAGTGGTCGGTGCACTAGGATTGGTCACGTTTGATTTCAGACAAAAACTGGGCCTTCAAATTGTGTCGTTTACAGATGTTCTCGATTAGAGTCCCCGTGAAAAACACGCGCGCTGCGGGCCTTTGTGGAAAACTCACAAACCCCGGGCAAAAGGGAACTTATAGTCCCATATGAGAAAAATTGCATGAAGAGCGATTTTCATTCGTGACTATTCGTGTTTTTCTGTCACATACGTACATTCGGACTACGCTGTCTTCAACTTCTCGTCGCACGGTTCGCCGCGTTGATCAGTGTCGCAGGACAAACGGGCAGAAAAAATACAAATAAATTATGTTTAAGGCCGAAATGAAAGACAACAATTTTTGTTTTACACTGTAATCAAGATTAATGAGATGGCATCGTCGGAGGTCGCGGGGAACCGCGCAACAGGATTTAGACGCAAGAGAGGTCAAGATAAACAGACAAACACAACTACAAAAAGTAAATAGTGAATAAAAACTTCATTTTGTTTTATTTTCCCTTAATGTTCTGACAGGTTCGATTTGCGTCCTCTGATTGGCTGCAGAACTGATTCGTGCAATGATTCAGTCAAGATGCAAGATTTCCCGCCAAAAATGGGACTGTAGAGGAGGGGATACACCTAGGGCTTATGTGAAAAATCTACTCGTTGAGCAAATGGGACTCTTTTAGGAAGGGCCTCTAAGCCAGAACATTTGTAGATGAACGCTATGTCGAATCAAACCTAGCGTGGCAGAACAAGACATGTTTTCCCTCGAGCCAAAGAGGGCACTGTACAAGATACTGTAACACTTGTCCCTCTAGTGACTGCAGAGGCGTGGGATTCAGATCAGACGCCCCTAATCACAACGGAAGAGCTATGCTCTCATCTCATCATCTCAACACCAGCACAGCTTTCATCCATTCTGCACCACAGGCTTTCAGAAATCACCCAACCCCGGCCACAGCCTCCCAAACGAAACTAGACCTCGCATTCAGAATGGCGCTCAGTTCCGTTCCGTTCTGTTCCGCTCTGTTCTGTTCCTCCATTGCCTTGGTTCCAATTGGAATATATATTGCACTGCCTGCGTCAGCAGTCAGTGCAATGAGTCAGCGGGCAAGGAAAAAAATAAAACCCACTCGGAAGGCATGCCATTCGGGAGCATCACCCTAAAATTTTAGGGCTGAGGCTCCCGAATGGCATGGAGTCCGAACGGGTTTTAGGTTTTTTTCTGCCCGCGGTCAGCATGCTGACTCACTCGGTAGCGTCGTCTAGCGAAATGGTAGCGCTACCGAGCGCTACCGACGCTACCAAGTGCAATATATTGGGCCTGGTTTCACCCCAGCCACTGGCTGTTTCCAAGCAGCTCCGGGCTGAAAACGGTCCCAGGCCCACTCCGTCCAGCTCTGTCTCCGAGAGCAGCTCTGGCTAGCCCAACTTCTCAGTAGGGAGGCTGAGATGAGGCTGAAAGGTGGAACGGGGTATTAAGTACTACTACTACAGTACTACGTATCCCAGGATCTGGTACTTATCAGGTCGATCAACCTGCGTTTGCCAGAATACTAAGAAATGCACACGCCTAGTCCTGCAGTCCTGTATATGTACACACATTCCAACTGTCGCATTGTGTAGATTCCAAGCAGTGCTTGTCAAAGGATTAGCAGTACTAGTCCATCATGCCACAGGCCCGGGATGGGAGACAACAGAGTATTAATAGTAGGTGCTACCGCTTACCTGCGCAGCAAATGTGTCACGTGACTGTGCTCTCTTGTGGCAGCGCCGAGACCGGCCCACCCGGCGCCGGCAATGCCGCTTCACCGAAAGGACGAATGCCCTCTCTCTCCATGCGGCCGGTCAGACTCTGACAGGAAAGCAGGTTCTCACTGCACTGCCCCAGGATATGATAACACCCAGCCACGTCCCCAGCAGGAACTCTCAGCACCTGGGCTGCAACCACCCACCACCCCTTCATCATGGGTTTGATTCCCAAGGACCCTCTCTCAGTGACCCTCTGGGGAGTTCAGCTCAACGGCAGGCCTTCCGGGCCCCAGTGGTAGAAGGCAGGCTGCTGCCGGGTGGTGCGGCGATGAGAAAGCAGCCACCACCTCATTCCCAAGGTCCCTGCCCCAGCGACCCTCTGGGGCGTTCAGCTCAACGGCCAGTCAGCAGCATGCAGGCCTTCCGGGCCCCAGTAGTAGAAGGTAGGCTGCAGCCGGGTGGTGCGACGACGATGGGAGTACAGCCACCACCCCATTATGATTCCCAATGTCCCTGTCCCAGTGACCCTCTGGGGAGTTCAGGACAACGGCAGGCCTTCCCGGCCTCACAGGAAGACGGCAGGCTGTTGCGGGGCGGTGCGACGATGAGAGAACACCCACCGCCCCATCATGGTTCCCAAGTACCCTGTCCCATTGACCCTCCGGGGAGTTCAGCTCAGCAGCAGGCCTCCCAAACCTCACTGGTAGACGGCAGGCTGCTGCCGGGTGGCGCAACGATGAGAATGCAGCCACCGCCCCATTCCCAGAAGCGTCCCAGTGACCCTCCGGGGAGTTCAGCTCAACGGCAGGCCTTCCGGGCCTCACAGGTAGAAGCCAGGCTGCTATGGGGTGGTGCGACGATATTCGAGACGTCTCAAAAGTCAGTAGTAGAAGGGAGGCTGCTGTCGGGTGGTGCGACGATCATGCCACAGCCGCCGCAGCTCCAGCCATCGCCAACAGTTGCACGGCCTCCTCGGCCACGTGCCGCCGCTAGTCGCCTGGTTAACCGTTGGGACTTGCATGATGATGACGGTCGTCCAGGTGCCGATGCAGATGCCTGCCGTTTGGTGGTAGATCGCCAAGGGATTGCCAGTTGCCTGCCGGGTGTTACGGGAAGAACAACTGCGGCACTACCATCTACCATGGGCCCATCGATTGACATCGTCGGGCTCATCGAGGCTTTGCTTCGATCCCGGGCTGGTTCGGGTTTGGAACCACCCTCTCCCGAGGCTGCACACGCTGCTGCAGCAAGTCATGTAGTCCGTGCTACAGGTGCTGCAGGAGACGGCGCCAAGCAGGAGGTTGTAGCAGCAGGATCCCCTGTGTCCCCTGCTACAGCCGCTTGTCCCTGGGCTGTTCCTGCAGAAGCGACAGCTGCTACAGCAGCATTCGTTCAAAGGGGTGTGGCTGGCATGAAAAAGCACACCACTGGTACTGCTGCTACTGCTGCTGCTGCTGCTGCTGCTGCTGCTGCTGCTGCTGCTGCTACTCCTGCTACTGGTACTGCTGCCACTGCTTCTGCTGCCACTGTTGCTGCTACTCCTACTGCTGCTGCTAATGCTGCTGCCACTGTTACTCACAGCAGCACGCCAAGCAACGTCCCAAGCACCAGCTTCCCCACGTGCACACGTGAAACCCTCCCCACCCAGCATGCAGCCCTGCTGTCCTCGCTCTCCGCCCTCAAGGCCAGAGCATCCGCGTTACAAGCACTCGTCCGGATTCTTTCACAGGTACTAGGCTACCCAGGCTCAACCCCGAGCCGGGCCTTCCCCAAATCCCTGTTCCCCTTCTCCTCTCCCTCTTGCTCAGAGCTCTACGGATGACTCATCCTGTTGGTAGGCCCACAGGCTGAAGCTCGGAGTTTGTAGATCTTTGCTGAGTGTGACCACAAATTCCAGCATTTTGTTACTCCCGCTGCTATGGCTCTGGCATTCGGCAGGTCGTAAGCCCATTGCTTCAGTCACCCTGCTTCACTACCATTTTGCCTTTCCAAGTCCCTCTTCCCAATGCCCAGTCTTCACCACCCTGCACCTGTTCCTTCCTTCCACTTTTGTTTTCTGGCGCCTCAAGTGCAGACGCTGAAGTCAAGTTCCCTGTTCATGCCACCCTTGTTTCACCTCCCTCGCTCAGCAGAAACAGGAGGGGTTGGAGAAGGCGAAGGGGCAGCAAGAACAGGCGGAGGAGGAGGAGGAGGAGGAGGAGGAGGAGGAGGAGGAGGAGGAGGAGGAGGAGGAGGAGGAGGAGGCGAAGGAGGAGGCGGAAAAGGAGGAGGAAGAGGAACAGCCACAGCAGCAGACGGGGAAGCGGCAGCAGCAGGCACATCAAGGAAAGGAGAAGGAGCGGAATGAGGAGTACGACGTGAAGCAGGATCACGAGGAGCAGGAGAAGCAGGCTCAGGAGAAGCAGGCACAGGAGAAGCAGACTCAGGAGAAGCAGATTCAGGAGAAGCCGGCTCAGGAGAAGCAGGCTCAGGAGAAGCAGTGGGAGCAACAGCGGGACACGGTGGCAGTGGCGATTGTTGGCATGATCAAGAACCTTGCAATGGCCGCTGCCAGCCTGTTGCCTCCCCACCAGCAGCTCAGTGCACTCCGCCCCCTGTTCCATCTGCTGCCAAACCTGCAGGTCGCGTCGACTCTGCCGAGGCAGGATCTGCCGAGCCAGATTCTGCCGAACAAAGCTTTGCCAAACCAGGCTGTGCCCAGCCGAGGGAGAAAGGAAGGTTCGGGTCCGATGGCTCGGAGACAGGAAGCAGGTATGGATGAGGAGGAGAGGGGTGAGAGGAATGAGGGAGGTAGACACAGCAGAGGTGAAGAGAAAGAGGATGGAGTGGAGGGAGAGGATGAGGGGGGGAATGTTGATGATGGTGACAACGACCATGTTGAGGACGGTATGGAGGGTAAAGAGGTAGAGGTAGAGGAAGAGGAGGAGGAGGAAGAGGAAGAGGAGGAGGGAGAGGAAGAGGAAGAGGATGAAGAGGAAGAGAAAGAGGAGAAAGGAGGGGCAGACGAGAAAGAAAAGGAAGAGGGAGAAGGCACGGCGAAGGAAGAGGATGCAAGGGAGGAGCATAATGGGCTGCAGGAAGGGGGACGACTGCAAGGGGGAGCAAGAGGAGGCAAGGAGGTGCAGCCGCAGCCACAGTTCGCGGATTCAAGTAATTCGATCATCAAGGAGCGACTCAATGCTCCCCAAACAAGGCCTTCCAGTGGAGAGGCCGCTGAAATGGGTCTCTTGGCGAGGGAAACCGGGCAGAAGCGCAAGCAGCACGAGGGGGAGCATTGGGACGGGGAGCATGGCCATGGGGAGCAGCATGAGGGGGAGGTGACTCCTCGTAGGCGCAAGAAGTTGAAGCAGCTGCTGCTGCAGCTACAGGCAGCGCTGCAAGAGAGCGTGGCACAGGGAGGGGGAGTGGGACAGGGAGGAGTGGCAGGAGCAGTAGCAGCAGCAGCAGCAGAGGCGTCGTCATTGGTAGCAGAAGCGCCAACTGCAGCAGGAGCAGCAGCAGCAGCAGCAGCTCTAGCAGCGGTAACAGCAGGAGCAGCACCAGCAGCAGCACAAACAGCAGCACGACCACCACCAGTAGCACCAACAGCAGCAGCAGCACTGTCAGCAGCACCAACAGCAGCTGCACCAGCAGCAGCGGCAGCAACAGCAGCCAGAACAGCAGCAGCACCACTGTCAGCAACACCAACAGCAGCTGCACCAGCAGCAGAGGCAGCAACAGCAGCCAAAACAGCAGCGGCAGCATTAGCAGAAGCAGCACCAACAGCAGCACAAGAGCCGAAGCAGGAAAATATTCACTCTGATTCAAGCCTAGCTGCAATTGACTGGGCTCCAGCAAGGGTAGCCCACACAGACGGACAGCACGAGGCTACAAGGGGGGCAGACAGGGCAGAAGAAAAGCAGGAGGCAACAAGAGGGCCATACAGGGCAGGATCAAAGCAGGAGGCTTCAGACGGGTCTGGACGCTCATCTGGCTTCACTTCCCGCCCCGACCCTCTCTGGGTTACAAGGTGTCCGCCCCTACTTGCGCTACTCCTCCTACATGTGCCTTTCTTAGGGGTAACTGAGTTACCCATAACACGTCTCCACCAAACTCCAGCCTAACAACTCTCCCGCTCCGCCTCTTTCAGTCATTTTCTTCCTCCCTACCTCCTTACCTCCCTGTCTCCCTCCCTCCATCACCCCCACCCCCTCACAGCACCTCCCCAATGGCCTTCAGCTGCTTAGAGCCGGCTGCCAGCACAACGAGCAACACCCGCGCTGCTTCCCTTGTCCACTTCTCCCCTTTCTCTCTTTTGCCTCTCCTCTTCTTCTCCTCTTCCCTCCTTCCCACCCCCTCAGCTCTTCCCCCACAGCCTTCAGCTGCCCAGAGCCGGGCTGCCAGCACAACGACCAGCACTTTCGCTTTCGTCCGCTCAAGTCCCTTACCTCGCTGCACACCCACCACCGTCGTGTGCATGGCAACAAGCCCTTCACGTGCTCCCGCTGCCAGGTGAAAGTCCTTTCAATTTACTCTCCTGTCCTGGCCTCTCTTCTCCCCCGCCCTCTCAAGTCCCTTATCTCGTGCAAACCCACCATCTCTGCATGCATGGCAACGAGCCCTTCACGTGCTCCCGCTGCCAGGTGAACCTCCTCTTTGCCGTCTCTCTCCTGTCCTCTCCGTTCCTCTTCTCTCGTCTCCCCTCCCCTTCTCTCATCTCCCCTCTTCTCTCCTCTCATCTCCTCTCCCTTCCTCTCCCCTCGCATCGTCTCGCCCCATCTCCGCTCATCTCCTCTTGTGTGTGTAAATATCTCAGATCTCTCTAACTTTTCGACCCACAAGAGGTGGTGTGATCACGATTTACCCCCTCTTTCCCCCTCTCCCTTCCCCTCAGGTCAAGTCCTTTGGCATTCAGTCCGACCTGCGAACACACGAGAAGCGGTGCGGTGTAAAGCGGTGGCACTGCTCCTGCGGGAACTCCTTCAGCAGAAAGGACAAACTAGACAACCACCTCAACACGTTCACGGACCACTCCCCTCTCTTCAACCTCCAGCCAGTGGACGTCCCGATTCAGCCAAAGCAGAAGGTGCAGCAGCGGAGACAGACGCTGCAGGCCGGGGCACAGCAGGTAGGGGCGTCAAATCAGCTTGAGACGCAGACGAATCAGCTAGTGGCGCAAATGAAGCAGCTAGAGGCCCGTCAGAGCGCCAGCCGCATGAATGTGGCTGTCACGGATCAGTCTCCTGCCAGTCACCTGGCGCGCTCTGCTAGCTGTGCTTCTGAGAGGAACAATCCTTTGAGGGGAAACAGCTTGAAGAGAAGTGCGCTGGAGAGGAATGAGTTGGAGGGAAATGGTTCAGACGGGAAGGAGAGCAGGAGTAGGAACGTGTCGCTGCTGCAGGGGGCTGTTCAGTCGGACCAAGAGCGCCCCTTGCAAGCCGAGGGCTTTGAGCGTGGTCGGCCATCTCACCACATGCAGAATCAGCAGACCGAGGAAACCCAGCAGTCACAGCATCATCGGCAGAACCAGCAGGGTCAACAAGCCCTTGCAATACACAAGATACTTGCATTCCCAGCTCTCGCCACGCTGCCAATGAACACGCCTGCGCCACCCCTGCAGGCACCCACGCCCGTGGAACAATGTGCTCCACCCTTGCCCCAGAAGCACCCCTCCCCGCCCTTGCTTCAGAAGCACCCCTCCCCGCCCTTGCTTCAGCAGCACCCCTCCCCGCCCTTGCTTCAGCAGCACCCCTCCCCGCCCTTGCTTCAGCAGCATCCCTCACCACCCTTGCTTCAGCCGCACCCTTCCCCACCCTTGCCCCAGCAGCACCCCTCCCCACCCTTGCTTCAGCAGCACCCCTCCCCACCCTTGCTTCAGCCGCACCCCTCCCCACCCTTGCTACAGCCGCACCCCTCCCCACCCTTGCTTCAGTCGCACCCGTCCCTCCCGCTGCCACAGGAACACCCCTCCCTCCCTTTGCAGCAACAGCACCCCTCCCTCCCCCCACAGGCAGCACAGGTGCCACCTCTGACTCTGCCAGCCCAGTTGCTCACACAGATGGTCCAAGCCATAACCCCACTCCAGCCTGCACAGTCAATGCAGTCAACGCAGTCAACACAATCAGTGCAGTCAAGGCAGTCAACATGGCATATGCAACCCTCTCCACCTGTGCAGGCCCTACTGCCAGACCGGTCACCACAGTCAGCACAGCCAGCTCCAGTAGCCCCTCCAGTGCTCCATCCAATCCCTCAAACCATCCAGTCACTTCCCTCGTCGTCTTTCCCTCCCATCGAGCCTTCCCAAGCACAGGCACAGCCTCGGCCCAGGGCCAATCTGCCGACATTGAAAACACAGGTTCATACATCAAGTGGTGGTGCTGAACTGACGATGTCGAATTGCAACGCTGACCTGTCAACATTGGATCGCGACGCTGACCTGTCAACATTGGATCGCAACGCTGACCTGTCAACATTGGATCGCAACGCTGACCTGTCAACATTGGATCGCAACGCTGACCTGTCAACATTGGATCGTGACGCTGACGTGTCAGCGCTGCTGGAGGCGTCGTGTCGGGCGATTATTGATTCGGGGAATGATGAGGCGCTCGGGGCTTCGTGTCAGCTGATCCTCTTGGCACTACGGCAGCAGCAGCAACAGCAACAGCAACTATATCAGCAGGACCAGCACCTTCAGCACCAACAGCAGCAGCAACAACAGCAGCAGCAGCAACAGCAGCAACAACAGCAACGGTTGCAACAACAATGGCAGCAGCATCAACAGAAGCAGCAGCAACCGCAGCAACAGCAACCACAACAATACCAGCAGGACCAGCAACTTCAGCAGCAACCGCAGCAACAGCAACAGCAGCAGCAGCAGCAACAGATAGAGGTGAAAGTAAGGCCGCAGAGGCAGAACGTACAGCAGGGCCTAGCAACCCACCAGCGGCAAGGGCAGCAGCAGCAACAGAAGGTGCAACAGCAGGTGCAAAAGCAGGTGAAACGGCAGAAACAGCAGCAGCCATCCAGCCAGGTACACCTGCCACCCTTCCATCACCAAGAATCCACCTGGACCAACCAAAATTCCACCTGGGCTAACCAAGAATCTACCTGGGCTAATCAACAATCCACCTGGGCTAACCAAGAATCCACCTGGGCGAACAACCCTCTGCCAGCCTCCTATGCAGCACCCACTACTGACCCTCCATCCCAGCACCATATAATAACCCGAAGGGTTTCTCTTGAGGCAACACCAGCAATAACTGAACCTCTTGGGTCAACCCTAAAGTCAAGTGCCGTTCCACGTCCCTACCCTATCTCGAACACCAGGGTGGCCCTTGAGTCATCCCAAGAGTCAACTGACCTTCCACCCCTTCAAAATCCGAGCCGTCTAGTGAATCTTGGGTCGGCCCAAGGTGTAACTGACCTTCCACCCCAGCACCAAAGCCTAAGCCATCAAGTAGTTTTTGAGCATACAGGGGCAGTCGGAGGAATATCTCTTGAAGAGCTCTTTCCTGAGCTGCAAGATGACTTCTATAATTCCTCCAGCTATTGAGCGTGGTTGCTAGCCTAAGGCCCGCAAGTCGGCCAAATATATTTCTAGCATTAGGCAAGGCTTTTAATTGCGTTCCTTTGTCGCTTGATTTTGTATATTGCATTTAGGCTAGGCTAGGCCTCTTAGGGTAATATGTAATCTGCTCCTTTAGTATTCAATTCATTCCGAGGCATGCTGACAAGTGAACCATCAGTACACAAGCAGTCTCAAAGAGCTTTATGGTCAGAACTCAAACCAAAGCTGCAGAATTTATGGTACAGAGCATGAGTTAGGAGGTGCCCAGCAGTACAAGGCGAGCAGCAACAAGGAGAGCGATCCAACCATCTAAGAAGCACCATTCATCATCTATGCACCAGCAGGTGCGGCCTGTGGCAGCAGTTGCAGCAGCACGTTCCGCAGCATCTGAGCCCACAGGTCCTGCAGGCCAGGAATGCGGTAATGCAAGCAGTCCTCTTGATTCAACTCCGGTGTAAACCCCTGATGCGATCCCGGCTGAAGCACCGCCATCGTAGGTCTAGCTAGGTAGCAGCAGGCGCCGACGCTGGCAGCAGCTGCAGCAGCACGATTTGCAACATCTGCGCCCACAGGTCTCCCAGCACTATTGAAGCATCTAAGCAGCACCATCCTTGTATCTAAGCAGCAGCATCAGCAGGGGTCAGCTCTGGCAGCAGCTGCAACAGCACGTTCTGTAGCATCTGCGCCCCCACGTCCTGCGGGCCTGGAATGCAGTAATGCAAGCAGTCTTCATGATTCAACTCTGGTATGAGCCCCTGATGCCGAGTCCGGTCGAAGCACCATCATGGCCGCAACATCCAAATACACACCGCCCACCTCCTCCACTGCCGCCCGCGCCAGCTCGTTCTGCTCGTGAAACCTTCCCTCAGAAGAATGGCAGGTTGTTGGAAGGACCCGGCACGAGGAGGGGCTTGTCGTGTTCGGAGCAGTTGGTATGGCCTTGCACGGTAAACAGCTCGTCTTTCATTCAATCCCGCATTTCTCTTCTTGCATTTCGTCCAACTCTCGTCGAGCTCGAACTCTCGTAGCTTTAGTACTTCCTCGCCTTGGCGACCTCTACTCCCTACAGTTCGAGGGCGGAACCTGCCCGGGAAAAAGCTTTACCTGCCCGCCCAGCGTATTTTTGCGTATCAGCGGAACGCCAGCCATGGCGTACCGCGTATATACTAAGCGTATAATACGCTAGCGTATGATACTCGATACTCGTATTTTCCAACGTAGTTTCCTACACAGTGGTACCAACCCAAATAGGGGATATTCTGTGTTGGCAAAAAGAGCAGCGCAAGTGCAGCGTACAGTGCCTTTGAGGGAGCCAATGTAGGCAGGGATGGGCTCAGAGAGCTGGTTGTTATCGAGCGATCTGGTAGTTGCGATATTTGCCAAACGCAGCATCGGGTGGAACAGCCAATGTTGACTCGGGGTTCAAATGGGTGATGACACGTGAGGGAGAAAAAGGCATGGAATTGATGAGAGAAAAATCAAGAAGAGGGGTAAATGGAGAGAAGTAACTCTGACATGGTTGCGCTGAGCAAGGGGTAGCCACAACGTAGGGATGCGAGTCTTACAGATCTACCAATTTTGTGAGCGCGTCAATGCCAGCAGGTATGGGGCCGGTGAGGTGATTGTTTTTCAGCAGCCTATGGGAGAAAGGGGAAGGAGAAACCGAATTGTTTAGGCTGATGGTCTGAATTCCAGGCCAGAGCGGCCCAACAAGAGAGGAACGGTGCCTTTGCATGACCTCTTATCGGGTGCCAATTGGGACGGACAGATGACACTAGAGGTGATGTTGCAGCAGCAGTTGGTTTTGGTGTGCGGGACAATGGGGAGCCTCGGCAAGGGAAGAGGTGGTGGATGTGCATCGATGTGCGATCCGACACATGAAGAAAAGATCGTGGTCGGGAGGAAAAGTGGGCGCGAGGATGCATGCGAAACGAAACCTGCTGCAAAAACTGCCTGCCATGCCGAACCTCGCGAAAGGAGCAATCTGAGCAGTGGTCTGCGGTCTACGGGCCTTGGAGTCGCCATTGGTGCAGAAGAGGCTGATATGCAGGGCGACATGGAAGAGAAAAAAAACAGCCGAGGAGGTGACCGGACTTAGGGGAGCAAGCCCATGGGAACTTCTTATTAACAGTGCCGTGTCGAATATTTTCAGCTACCCGGATTTAGGCTGCCCATTCAACGAGCAACACCCAGGCTTTCGCGCGTTCAAGTCGAAGGCGTCGCTGCAGAACCACTACCGCCGGACACACACGGCTGATGCGCGCTAGAAAGGCACAGTATCAGCGTAGTGGAAACGGTTTTTTTTGTAGAATAAAACAAGATAGAAAACTTGCAACCGAAGGGTATTATTGGGGTCATTTTGTAGAATATATACTATAACTTCACACAGCAGGGTATTTATATATGCAGCCACCCCTCCAAAATGACCCCACCCATACCAATATTTGTGCACCATGCGGAGATTAACTCTACAACAGTGGGAGCTAGACCACGGGGTAGGCACTAGTTGTAAAAGTGATCGTAGCTCTGTCTGTGTTCTCTAGGACTTGTGTGTTCACAGGGCAAAACAACAAGAGTTTCACTAGGAAAGTTGAGAATACATAATTCAGAATGAACAAGCAATGGCAAAGATTGACTACATCAGATGCAGGGTTTGCTAGTGCACAGGCAAGTCGAGCGCCAGCACGACAAAGTCATCGACCTGCCAACGCAGCAAGTCTGCGACCCACCAACGCATCTCGTGCACGGCTTGCCAACGCTGCAGAATGGCGGCTTGCCAACGATGCATCCGCGCGGCTTGCCAACACAGCACCCGCGCGGCTTGCCAACGTTGCATCCGCAGGTGATTGTAAGCGCATCTGCAAGCACCTACTAGGTGCTTGTAGACAGTTACGCACGACGTGCACTGTCGCGCATATTGCGCAGGTTGTCAGCCACATGCTGACGGTTGCACCTGACGAGCCACGTCGACCACGTGCTGCCACGTCGGTCGACTTCGCCACAGGAACCTCGACGACATTCGCGCACCTCCGCAGAACCTCGTCGAGCATGTAACTCGGTCGACCGGGTAAATTCCCCAGCCACACTGCAGGACGATGGCCTTCGTCATCATCGGTTGACGACCTTCGTCGTCGTGGGTCGACGACCTTCGTCGGCCATCTTCCTCGACCACCTCGATCGAAATTATGGCTCCTCATTGGTCGAAATTAGGGCACATTCAAATTTCTAGCCGAAATTCTCTTGTGCATGCGGAGATTCACTCTACAAGGTAGTCAGCTAGACCACGGGGAGGTTGGCACGAACTACTAGGAGTGATCTTAGCTTTGCTTAGTTCCTTAGCGCTTGCACATTCATGGGAGAAATCGGCAAGAGTTTCCACTAGGCAAAGATTGCATTTAAGAATAATAGAACAAGCAATGACAACAATGACTACATCAGGCACCTAGCAACTCTGCAGCTAGCCTGGTCGACCGCCAGCACAGCATGGTCGACCGCCTGCCAACGTTGCGTAGAGGAGCCGCGGCAGCACTACCGAAAGGCGACCTGCCAACACAGCAGGTCGATGGCGTGCCAACGCTGCAGCAGAGCGGCTGTCCAGCGTTGCATCCGTAGATGGCAGCAGTGCGCACGCTCGCAGGTGCGTGCAGACGATTGGCC